AGTTGACGACTGGCGTCGCTTCACTGCCCCCAGAATCACTCCTCTATATGTGAAATTGCTTTTCTGCAAATTGCTGGCCCCCCCCAAGCCAAACTCCCTCTGGATAATGGAGGCTCCCCAGTAATGGAAAGTCTTCCCCAGCCATCCTCTGCCTGCATCCTTTTAGTTCACCTGCTGGGGATCCTTTAACTACAGTTCCTTTTTAAATAATAATAAATAATAATAATAATAATAATAATAATAATAATAATAATAATAATAATAATAATAATAATAATAATTGTTTATTTATTTATATGCCACTCATCTGACAAGGTTGCCCCTGCCACTCTGGGCAGCTTCTAACAAATTAAAACATCCAACTTTACTGCTGTTCCATGGCAGGTGAGTAAAGGTACAGGTTGAGCGGAGGAGTGCTGGGACACTAGTCCAGAACCCTTTTAAAAACAATTGCTTTAGTGCATTCCAGGTTCTCTCTCTCCTGGGACTGCAGGAGGAAGTGGGAGGGTGGTGGCAACAGTTCCTGGAGAGTTAGACCCATGGAAAGCAGGGCTGTTGCAATGCAGTTGGGCAACAAAGGGCGTGTGAGAAGCTCTGGGAGGCGGCCAGAGATCAGGGGAAAATGAATCTTTCAAAATGTGACGGAACCTTTTAATATATGTTCAAATAAAATTGGGAAAGGTCCAAGAGATTATACATCTTCTCATCGCTGAGATTAGAATTTTTTGTCATATTGATGCAAAACTTAAAGCTTCTACTAGGAGATACTGCATCCTTTCACAATGTGCTGCAGACTGAAATCCAGAGGGGTAGCTTACTAGGCAACCATTTGTCTAAAATTTACGTACATTACAAAACCCACAATAAGGTTTATTTCCTAAACCTTGAATCTTTTGAAGGAGATGGCAGTGTCTGAAAAATGATCACAGGCAGCGATGTGGGTTTTCCAGGAAATTTGAACTGGCTCACTTAGAGAAATCAGAAATGCCTTATAGTGATCTAAAGGGGGGGGGATGAAATTGCCAGCTTGTCTAACACTTATTTGTAATTGACATTCACAGTTACTAATTAATCTGTGAAGCAGAACATTTTCCACAGAAAAAAGGGGATCCTTTAACTCCAGTTCCTGCATTGTAGGGGGTTGGACTAGATGACCCTCGGGTCCCTTCCAGTCAGAGTTCTGCGATTCAGGAAGCCAAGAGCAGATCTGCCTGCCAAACATTCCTCCTGCCTGACCAATGTAGAATTGGAAGGAAAACCCCCCCCAAGGGGAATCACAGCTGAAGCCTCCGTGCCCACTCGCACCTGGGCCCCAAACACTCATCTCGCAGAAGAGGAAAGCAAAAATCACTTCCGTTTATTTTTCTCTAATAAAGCCACATTGGCCGCAACAAGCTATTGAATGTCCACCCGTTCTCCCGAGGGGAGAAAGAGAGAGAGAGTGTGCGGGTTTATACACAATATAGAAAATAAAATTTTGGGTGGGTTCCTACAAAGCGACATATTACAAGCATTAAGAAGTGGAAGCAGGACAGAGGTTCAAAGGACAGGCCAGAAAAGCTTTTTATCATGGTTTGGAAGGGGCAGGGTGGTAATGTGGACAGTTTATTCAGCCAGATCTTCCAGAGAACGGTGCAATCCTGCCTGGCTAGTTGGAGAGCAACAGAGGGTTGATGGAGCAGTGAGCAGGCCAGCCTAAAGGGACTCCGAGCTGTTGAGGGTGGGGTGTCACTTGGAGCAGTCAATTTATTCTGATTTACTCCCCATCCTTTGCAAAGATGCAGTGGACACAAGCAGTTGTCAAGACTCGAGCATCAGTTGTTTAAAAGCACAGACTCTGAAGAGAGAAGCTGGACACTTAGAAAAAAACTCCCATTTCCAGGAGGCAAAGTTCAAAAACCTAGATCAGGGGTCAGCAACCTATTTCAACAGTCAACTGTCCCTCAGACCTTGTGGGGGCCAGACTATTTTTTTGGGGGGGGGAATGAACGAATTCCTATGCCCCACAAATAAACCCAGAGATGCATTTTAAATAAAAGCACACATTCCACTCATGTAAAAACACCAGGCAGGCCCACAAGTAACCCAGAGATGCCTTTTAAATAAAAGGACACATTCTACTCATGTAAAAACACGCTGATTCCTGGACCATCCATGGGCCAGATTTAGACAGCGATTGGGTTGGATCCAGCCCCCGGGCCTTAGTTTGCCCACCCCACCCATGACCTAGATATACCTGTGATTCCCGCCCCTCCAGTTCTGCTTACATCAAGAAAACTAGACGGAAAGGACCTACAAGGAGCTGCCTCACTGAAATGGCTTCTAAAAAGTAAATATAGCTCTGGGGGACTCAAGACGGCTGGGCCTACAGTTTTGGGTTTGGGGGAGCAGGCTACTGCCCTAGTGACCAGCCTCTCTCCTTGCCCCCAGCTGAATGAATCTCGCCCTTCCGCTCTGGGCAGGTTGGTGGAAGCTGAGCTGGGCTTTTATTTGGAATAAGGCATGATTAGTAGAGAAACTGCTCCACCTGCTGTTCACACTGGTACGCACTGGATGCTGCCGATGGGATTGGCAGTCCAAGACACAGGTTGGGGAGACCCAGCTAAAGCCATGCCAGTCTCCCTCTAAAATGGAATGTAGGTCCAAATATACATACTTCAGACATACAGTGGTACCTCAGGTTACATACGCTTCAGGTTACAGATTCCGCTAACCCAGAAATAGTGCTTCAGGTTAAGAACTTTGCTTCAGGATGAGAACAAAAATCGTGCTCCAGCGGTGCGGCGGCAGTGGGAGGCCCCATTAGCTAAAGTGGTGCTTCAGGTTAAGAACAGTTTCAGGTTAAGAACGGACCTCCGGAACGAATTAAGTACTTAACACGAGTTACCGCTGTACTTCAGACATGCATTGTTATTCACCGTTGCCTTAAATGCCTGTCCTGTTCCCCATGCAAAAGCACAGAATCTTTCCATTTTTTGCTTGTGCAGTTTTGTTAATTATCCAACACCTTGTGCATTGAGATGCTTCATTTGGTGTGTGTGTGTGTGTGTGTGTGTGTGAACCCAACAATATTTAAGGATATTATTATGTAAACACTTCATGTTTCCGGAAGGCATTGCTTTGTCCTGGATCTTAGGCAAGAGAGTTGAAAAATTGCGGTACTTTTTGGTGTTTTTGTAAAAAAGAAGAAAAAGAAACAGCTTAACAACTTTGGGGTTTTCCGGAATGTCCTAGTTTTTACTTTTTGAAATATGGCAATTCCTAGGAGTGGGGGAGTTGCATTGAATGGAATGTGGATATCGTATTTCATCTTCCCATGATGATGATGCTAGGTGAAATTTCCAACTCCCCGTTAGTTAAATTATGGTCTTGAATGAAGGGCTGCTGCTGCTGCATCCTGGACCATCCCATCTGCAAGGCCCATCATTGCACGCAAAATTGTCTCTCCAAAACCTGAAGGGAAATGGAAGGGAAGGTTATGGGGCCAACCGCAGCAGAATTTCTCTCTTTGGCGTTTTTTACTGCTGGCCTGCAAAGCTGCCCACCCCTCTGCTCTCTTCTGGAGTCCTGAGAAGATAATACATGACTGTGATCCAGTTGCCACCACCAAAGACCAAGACTAATGATGGGAAAGATGAAAGGGTCCACCTGGTTTTCCAGCTTTCCTTTCTTTGGCGAGTTGAAGCGAAGATGTGTTTCTGGACCTGTGCTGGATTTCTTCCCAAGTCTGACCTGACTCAACCAGAAAAATCCACAGAGGAGAGGAGGAGAAGGACCTTAGCCAAACCCCTTCTTCTACCTCCTCCAAGGCCTCAAATGTCCAGGGCATCAGTTGGAAAGGAAATCGATAGAAGCTCTCACGGTCTTTGACGTCTGGACGTCCATGGCTGCCACCTTGATCTCAGTGTCTCCAAACTGCATGCTGGCTCGGATCTCCCTCCTGCTCTTCTTCGGAGAGCTGGGCTCCTCCAACTCATCCAGGTCCAGGCTGATGGTACCGCATTTCCTGACCCCGGGGTCGGTGATGTAGACCACGTCGTCGGTGCCACAGCAGTAGATGTTGATGATGATCTTCCGCTGCCCGACCCGCGCGGGGCAGTAGCTCCTCTGCACCACCTCGCCCAGCGCCACGGACTGGTCCACGGAGACAAACTTCTCAAAGATGTCGGTGCACCAGTTCTTCCCTTCCTTGACCAGCAGCTTCTCCCTGGGGTGCTTGCCCTCCACGAACTTGTTGAGCACGCCCACGCCGTAGGTCAGAGGGGAGCGCCTCACGCGGACAATGGTGGGGTCCAGGCCGAAGAGCACCGCACCTTTCAGGATGGTCAGGCCCACGTCCTGCGGGATGATGACCCGGCAGACGGCGCTGAAGGCCGACTGGACCGCGTGCTGCAGCATCGAGGACTCGGCAAAACCTCCCACCAGGAAGAGGAACTTGATACCTTTGACTTCCGGCTTCTTCATGAGGTCACCTGAAGGGAGAGAGGGGACAGTGGAGGGAGGGTGGACAGGTCACAGGTGTCAAAAGGAGGGTGGAAAAACTTGGCAAGGTTCCATTTGGGAGCCAGTAACTGTCAATAATAATAATAATAATAATAATTATACCCCACCCATCTGGCTGGGGTTTCCCCAGCCACTCTGGGCGGCTTCCAACAGAACACTAAAATACAATAACCTATTAAACATTAAAAGCTTCCCTAAACGGGGCTGCCTTCAGATGTCTTCTAAAAGTCTGGTAGTTGTTTATCTCTTTGACATCTGGTGGGAGGGCGTTCCACAGGGCAGGTGCCACCACCGAGAAGGCCCTCTGCCTGGTTCCCTGTAACTTGGCTTCTCGCAGCGAGGGAACTGCCAGAAGGCCCTTGGACCTCAGTGTCTGGGCTGAACGATGGGGGTGGAGATGCTCCTTCAGGTATACTGGACCGAGGCCGTTTAGGGCTTTCAAGGTCAGCACCAACATACTGGGATCCAGTGTAGGTCTTTCAAGACCGGTGTTACATGGTCTCGGCGGCCACTCTCAGTCACCAGTCTAGCTGCCGCATTCTGGATTAGTTGTAGTTTCTGGGTCACCTTCAAAGGTAGCCCCACATAGAGTGCATTGCAGTAGTCCAAGCGGGAGATAACCAGAGCATGCACCACTCTGGCGAGACGGTCCGCAGGCAGATAGGGTCTCATCCTGCGTTCCAGGTGGAGCTGGTAGACAGCTGCCCTGGACACAGAATTGACCTGTGCCTCCATGGACAGCAGTGAGTCCAAAATGACTCCCAGGCCGCACACCTGGTCCTTCAGGGACACAGTTACCCCATTCAGGACCAGGGAGTCCTCCACCCACGCCTGCCTCCTGTCCCCCAAAAACAGTAATTCTGTCAAGGCTCTGGGGCAGAGCTGAGGCTTTTCTGACCCTCCACACCTGACTGGTAGGCTCACTGTCAGCAGAAAGAACCTTAGATGAGCCTGCAGGATCAGGGCAACATTCTATCTGGTTCCAGCATCCTGTTCTCACAGCCAGATGCCTATGGGAAACCAGCAAGCAGGATTTGAACACAAGACCTCTCCCCGCTCCTGCAGTTTCCAGCAACTGGGATTCAGAAGCATTGCTGCCCCCCAACTGCATACCCTCCAACGTTTCTCTGGTGAAAATTGGAACGTCCTGTTCCATGAAAATAATAATTTTATTACTTGTATGAAACCATCCGACTGGGCAGCTTCCAACATACAGTGGTACCTTGGTTCTCAAACGGCTGAGTTGTCAAACAAATCAACTCCCCAACACCGCAAACTCAGACATAAGTGTTCCGGTTTGTGGACATTTTTCGGAAGCTGAATGTCCGACGAGGTTTCTGCTTGAGTGCAGGAAGCTCCTGCAGCCAATCGGAAGCTGTGTCTTGGTTTTCAAACGGTTTCGGGAGTTGAACAGACTCCCATAACATATTAAGTTCGAGAGGACCACTGGATATAAAAATATAAAGGTGAACGGTAAAGGGACCCCTGACCATTAGGTCCAGTCGTGGCCGACTCTGGGGTTGCGTCGCTCATCTTGCTATATTGGCCGAGGGAGCCGGTGTACAGCTTCTGGGTCATGTGGCCAGCATGACTAAGCCGCTTCTGGCGAACCAGAGCAGCCCACGGAAACGCCGTTTACCTTCCCGCCGGAGCGGTACCTATTTATCTACTTGCATTTTGATGTGCTTTCGAACTGCTAGGTTGGCAGGAGCAGGGACTGAGCAATGGGAGCTCACCCTGTCGTGGGGATTCGAACCGCCGACCTTCTGATCGGTAAGTCCTAGGCTCTGTGGTTTAACCCACAGTGCCACCCGTGTCCCTTATATAAAAATATAATAAAGCATTAAACATATAAAAAACCCGCCTTCCCTATACAAGACTGCCTTCTAAAAGTGTCTAAAAAGTTGTATACTTGCCTATCTCCTTGGCTTGTGGGTTGCATAACTCCATACCCACCAACAAATCTCTGATGAAAATAGGGAGGTCCAAGTGGGACATTTTGGGATCAAATTAGAAACCGGGGTGGCTTCTGTAAGTTCGAGACTGTCCCTGGAAAATATGGACACTTGGAGGGTAGCAAGAGCACAGGCCAGGGCGATCTTGGGAGTCTCACACCTGGGCCTTGCGACTGTCCGGAGGATCAGGCTGCAAGTTGGTGGAACTGACCAGCAAAATGATATCAATATAGAATTGGACGGGACCCTGAGGATCATCTGGTCCATCCCCTGCAACGCAGGAATCTTTTGCCCAATGCGGGACTCGAACTCACAACATTTGAGTTTAAGTGGTTCATTCTCTACCAACGAAGCTATCCACACTCACAAACTGACACACGTTTTGTCCTTTTGCCCATTTCAGGGCATTGCCCACAGGGGAAAGAGGGTTGGCACCCAGCTTGAGTTTCTGCACGCAGCCGAGCACTCTAATTGGGGGACTCACCGATGTGTGTGATAATCTGGCTGATGGTTGGCTGGAAGAGCTCGTTCATGGCTTCAGAGGACATGCGCAGCATCCCTTGCGAGGACCACTTCACCAGGTTCACGCTGGATAAGCCAGAAAAGAGATTACTTATACATTTTTATTTTTATTTTATTTTTTGTGGGTTTTTTTGCTATTTATTTATTGGTTTTCACATATCACATTACAATACAGATGTACTAAAACCAACACCATTTCCTCCCCATCCCCCCTTAAATTTACATTTATATTTCCCCAAAGCATCATATTATTCTTTTCTCCTTCCTCCCACTTCCCTCCACCCCCACTCGATTTCCTCCACATTATACAATTTACAATAATCTTTCAATTCTAGTCTTCTCAAATCATCTATATAGTCTTGTTATCTTTCCTTACTAATTTTTCTTCCAATCAGTACTTCACATTTTAATCTAGGCATATTAGCGGGGTTTTTTTTAGCAATATTTTGCCATATATTCATCAAAACATTTCCACTCCTTTTTAAATTTTTGATTCGACTGATTTCTTTTTATAGCAGTTAATTTTGCCAAAATTAAATATTCATTTAGTTTACAAATCCATTCCTCCTTTGTGGGTATAGTTTGTGACTTCCACCTAGCAGCAATCACTATTCTAGCAGCTGTACTTGCATATAGAAAAATTCTTTCTTCCCCCTGTGGTATCTCTTCATCTATCAATCCAAGGAGATATGTCTGTGGTTTCTTTGCTATTGATATTTTCAACATCTTCTTTAGTTCTTCATGTACTACTATCCAAAATTTCTTAATTTCCTCATACCTCCACCACATATGTATTGTTGTTCATATTTCTCCACCACATCTCCAACAGAGGTTGGATTTCAATTTGTATATCTTTGCCAACTTAACTGGCGTTAAGTACCACCTATAGAACATCTTTACGAAATTTCCTTTCATTGTATATGAGGCAGTAAATCGTATATCCTCTCGCCAGAGTTTCTCCCATTGCTCTAGATGGATAGTGTTAAGTTGTGGGTGAACATATCAGACGACACAGCGATTCTTCAAACAGCTCTTGTTTATTCACAGGCCAGAACAGAACCGAACTGAAGGGTTCAGCTTATATAGAGCTCCAGTACAACGCAACAGTAACCACTTTCTGTAACTATCCAATCACTGAATATCACTTTTGATCCCTTATTTGCATATGTGGACCTGAGTGAAAACTATCTACAGTATCCCCCTGCTGGGCCAGGGTGAGAACTTCAGTACATAACAGATAGTATGTCTGAGATCCTGAGACCATTCAATTTTTCTGCTTCATTTTATGCTGTTTTAGTCTAATTGCAATGACCAATCTACACTGCCCTGATGGTGTCCTGCTGAAAGAAGGCCTCCGATTTTTAACAAAAGGGGAAAGAACTTGGGGTGGGGCAGTGGAATTGTGATCCTTTTATCCCTGCCAGGGCCAAGGTCATCCGAGAGTGAGGAGGGACCCCAGTGGTCATCTATCCCAACCCCCATTTTCATCCAACCCTCTGGGACCCTCACCTGCTGCGCTTCAGAGCCGTCTCCACGTTCTGTCCCCGGTGCTTCCGGTAAAAGTCGATGAAGGAGAAGGGCAGGGAGATGTTGAGGGAGTTGGCGCGGTGCGGGGCAGCCGTCCGCTTGCGGGCCTCGAACGCGATGGTCAGGTCGACCCAGGCCGCCGGGCGCTTGGCCTTGAAGGTGGCGATGAAGTCCTCGCCAAAGATCTGGCAGAGAAGTTTCTCGAAGGCCAAGTCCACCCCCACGGCCCCGTAAGGACCTCCTGGAAGGCAGCGACGGGAGAGGGAAGGTCAAAGGAGCAAGGGAGAGGGGCAGCGCCGCACAGTGGCTAGCGTGTCAAATTAGGGCTTCAGGGGCCAGGGTTCGAATCCCTGCTTGGCATGCAGTTCACTGGTTGGGACCTTGGGCTGCCTCTCAGCCTAGCCTGCTTTGCAGGGTTGTTGTGGGACAGAATGAGGAGACGGGGGAAACCATTTGTGCCTTCTTGAGCTCCTTGGAGGAATAACAACAACAACAATAATAATGGCATGAAGGATATGGGGCTTTCAGGGCCTAAGAGAAGCTAGCCTCTGTGTGTTTTCTGCCCTCTCAAAGGTCAGGGTACATCAACAATACAGAACAACAAACCCCTGTGTTGCAAACTTAACACAACAAACAATACAAGCAACACGCAGACCAGTATACAGTGGTGCCTCGCAAGACGAAAAGAATCCGTTCCGCGATTCTCTTCGTCTAGCGGTTTTTTCGTCTTGCGAAGCAACTCCATTAGCGGCTAAGCGGATTAGCGCTATTAGCGGTTTAGCGGCTTACCGGCTATTAAAGGCTTAGCGGCTTAGCTGCTAAAAGGCTATTAGCGGCTTAGCGGCTTTGAAAAAGGGGGGGGAAGTGGGGGGGGGAAATGGCGAGACTCGCAAGACGTTTCGTCTTGCGAAGCAAGCCCATAGGGAAATTCGTCTTGCGAAGTGCATCGCAAACGGAAAACCCTTTCGTCTAGCGGGTTTTCCGTCTTGCGAGGCATTCGTCTTGCGGGGCACCACTGTACTAGATAGCACTGTAATTCTTATTGCATAATATACATGATTTAGTAACAAAAACAAAATGTGTGCACTTGTAAATTCTCTAATATGTTTGAAATCAAATGAACACACGTCTGTCAATCTTTGAAAGTAAGTAAGTGAATAACATATTACATATCCACATGACCACTGCTCCTTGTGCCTTTTTCTAATCTATGGTTTGTGCTGAAGAAGATTCCAGTGAAACAGTCAGATTATCCGGGATCACTGTCTGTTGTTATTCACTTACTACTTCCGGCACCATGAACGCCTAAAAAAAGTTTTACCACTTAGCCCACAGGATAGCATCTATTACTTTGTTTCAACCATAGACTTATTATACTTCTGCGGACTTTCAAAGATTGACAGACGTGTGTTCAATTGATTTCAAATATATTGGAGAATTTACAAGTGCACACATTTTGTTTTTGTTACTAAATCATGTATATTATGCAATAAGAATTACAGTGCTATCTAGTATACTGGTCTGCATGTTGCTTGTATTGTTTGTTGTTCTCCCAAAGGTCAGGGCACTGTCTGGGGTGGCCCCCTGCGCTGAGGAATGCACTTTCTTAATGTGTTGTTGCAAATATGAACAACCTATCCGAAGAATGCAGTGAGTCCCAGACATTTGCATTTCCACCTTCAAATAAAGGCTTTGATCTTCTTATTTCGCTTCTTGCTGGCTATTTCTGTTTCAGCCACTGGGTGGAACTCTAACAAAAGGGGAGGCCAGCTTCAAACAGCCCTGGAAACCCAGGAATGGCCGTTCCAGCCAAATAGCTGGGTGGGAAACAAACCTGGGCACAAGCCCAGCTGCCTTTCAAAGCTGCAAAACTGCCCAGCTTACGTGAAAGTTCAGGGCTGTAGTCATGTTTGTGTGGAATTTTGCAAAATACAGTTGTACCTTGGGTCCCGAACGCCTTGGAACTCGGACGTTTTGGCTCCTGAACACCGCAAACAGTGACTGTTCCGGTTTGCGAACATATTTTTGGAACCCAAATGTCCAACGGGGCTTCCGCGGCTTCTGATTGGCTGCAGGAGCTTCTTGCAGCCAATCAGAAGCTGTGATTTGGTTTTCAAACATTTTGGAAGTCAAACAGACTTCCATTCGACTTCCAAGGTACAACTGTTTGCACATTTCTGCAAAGCAATTCCCCCCCCCCAGTATGAAGAACTTCTTAATGTCGTTTTCACTAGCAGATTCCTTTCCCATGCTCTCCTTACCATAGTTATATGCAGTTTTAGCCACGCTTTACCACAGTCACGTGCATTCTTGCACGCATTGTTTTGCCGGAGAACTGCATCGCAAAATTCGGAGAAGTACGAATTCTGTGTTTCAGATTCCACAGGGTTTCGGAAAGCGTGAATGAGATAAGTTTGCCTTTCTCCTCCACCTGCAGCCCTGGACTTCCTTGAAGGTGGCCTTGCTCTGTGGACTCTCCCCAGCCCCCCCTCACCTGACGCTTTGTAGAGCTCCTTGAGGGACCCCTGCGGCTGCTCAATCTGGTGCACGGTCAGATCGACCGTCCCTCCGCCACAGTCGGCAACGATGTAGCGGTCCCCTGCAGGATGAAGGAAAGAAGGTGGTGATGCCAGATTTGGGAAACGAATTACAGAATCATAGAATTAGCAGGGACCCCTGAGGGACGTCTAGTCCAACCGCCTGCAATGCAGGAATCTCAGCTGAAGCATCCATGACAGATGGCCCTCCAACCTCTGCTGAGAAACCTCCAAGGAAGGAGAGTCCAGATGTATGCAACAACGGCCGCGAGAGTTCTAATAGCACAAGGATGGAAGACTGAAGAAACCCCAACTATAAAGAATCATGGCAAGAAAAATGGATGGACTATGCAGAACTGGCAAAACTGACATATAAGCTACGGAACAAGGATAACTGAGATTTTAAAGATGAATGGGAACCCTTTACAAAGTATTTGAAGACGCAACAAAGCGAACTGGACTCCTTGGCTGGCTTTGAATAAACATTCACAAATTTGTTATTGATAATAATCAGCTAAATAGTTTGAGGATCTATACAACTTTGTAACATGCAGAAAACAGCATTCTCAGAGAAATCAGAGACTGGAACTGAAGGAAGTCGGGGGGTTGTGTGGGAGGGTGGGGGGAGGGAGGAAAAATGGGGGGGAATAAGGATGTTTCTGGATAATATATTTTGTTTTAATTTTGAATAAAAAAAGTTTTAAAAAGAAGAAGAAAGAAAATAGGGAGATTACCTCTCCAACTGGCCTCCTTGACCCCTCCCTCCATTTTTTGTCCCCCGCCCCAGGACACCTCCCCCTCCACTGTCCTGAGAAAACTCCTTAATCCTGGTTATTTATATATGCCACTACTATTGGCGTTTGGCAACTTTGACCTGTTGCAGGACCTTAGCAGAACGTACGCAGAGTTCCAGAAAGCAATCAGTTGCCGGTAGGATGGAAGAAGCAGGAACAAGACGCTGCTACTAGTAACTTGGTTACTTAGAGGTGTTTATTGTTTACAGCAGACTCTGTTGTTGTTCAGTCGTTTAGTCGTGTCCGACTCTTCGTGAGCCCCTGGACCAGAGCACGCCAGGCACTCCTGTCTTCCACTGCCTCCTGCAGTTTGGTCAAACTCATGTTCGTAGCTTAGAGAACACTGTCCCACCATCTCATCCTCTGTCGTCCCCTTCTCCTTGTGCCCTCCATCTTTCCCAACATCAGGGTCTTTTCCAGGGAGTCTTCTCTTATCATGAGGTGGCCAAAGTATTGGAGCCTCAGCTTCAGGATCTGTCCTTCCAGTGAGCACCTCAGGGCTGATTTCCTTCAGAATGGAGAGGTTTGATCTTCTTGCAGTCCATGGGACTCTCAAAAGTCTCCTCCAACACAATAATTCAAAAGCATCCATTCTTTGGTGATCAGCCTTCTTTATGGTCCAGCTCTCACTTCCATACATCACTACTGGGAAAACCATAGCTTTAACTATACAGGCCTTTGTCGGCAAGGTGATGTCTCTGCTTTTTAAGATGCTGTCTAGGTTTGTCATTGCTTTTCTCCCAAGAAGCAGGCGTCTTTTAATTTTGTGACTGCTGTCACCATCTGCAGTGATCATGGAGCCCAAGAAAGTAAAATTTCTCACTGCCTCCATTTCTTCCCCTTCTATTTGCCAGGAGGTGATGGGCCCAGTGGCCATGATCCTCGTTTTTTTGATGTTGAGCTTCAGACCATATTTTGCGCTCTCCTCTTTCACCCTCATTAAAAGGTTCTTTAAAGGACGCGGGTGGCGCTGTGGGTAAAACCCTCAGCGCCTAGGGCTTGCCGATCAAAAGGTCGGCGGTTCGAATCCCCGCGGCGGGGTGCGCTCCCGTTGCTCCTGTTGCTCGGTCCCAGCGCCTGCCAACCTAGCAGTTCGAAAGCACCCCGAGTGCAAGTAGATAAATAGGGACCGCTTACTAGCGGGAAGGTAAACGGCGTTCCGTGTGCTGCGCTGGCTCGCCAGATGCAGCTTGTCACACTGGCCACGTGACCCGGAAGTGTCTTCGGACAGCGCTGGCCCCCGGCCTCTTAAGTGAGATGGGCGCACAACCCTAGAGTCTGTCAAGACTGGCCCGTACGGGCAGGGGTACCTTTACCTTTACCTTTTTAAAAGGTTCTTTAATTCCTCTTCACTTTCTGCCATCAAGGTTGTGTCATCTGCATATCTGAGGTTGTTGATATTTCTTCCGGCAATCTTAATTCCAGCTAGGGATTCATCCAGCCCAGCCTTTCGCATGATGAATTCTGCACATAAGTTAAATAAGCAGGGAGACAATATACAGCCTTGCCGTACTCCTTTCCCAATTTTGAACCAATCTGTTGTTCCATATCCAGTTCTAACTGTAGCTTCTTGTCCCACATAGAGATGTCTCAGGAGACAGATGAGGTGATCAGGCACTCCCATTTCTTAACTAGCTCTCTCTTAACTATCTCTCTCTTAACAAACTCCAAACGACTCTCAGAACACCACACTGACCAACAAACTATCCAGTCAATAAGGTCATAAGTCATCATGCCTGTGTGAGACCTCAATCAATGGTAGAGCTGTATCCAAGGTCCCATATCTCCAGGCAGAATAACTCCTCTCTGCTCAGTCGCCTTGGCTTTCAGCTGCACAGAATGGCACGTAGTCAAAAATCCCAGCAACTACTGCGGCCTGTGTTTCGTTAGCCCCAAAATGTAAAACGAGCGAGGCCCTAACCAAAGAAGAATGGCAACTCAAAACTGATGGAATATGCGCAGCTTGCAGATTTAACATATAGAATAAGAGAACAAGAAGAACATACGTTTAAAGAAGATTGGAAAATGTTTATTGAATATAGCGGGGGGGGGGCGATTGTGTACACTTGAAAGACTGGAAGAAGTTTAAAGAATATTTGGAAAAAAATGTTAATATTTAAATCTCAGAATAGCTTTGGAAGTGGATATAGGCTGTAGGGTTAGAAGTAGAAGATAGTGTATTTTAAAATAGTATTATTTGTAAGTGATAAAATGTGAAGATTTTAAAAGTAAAAGTAAGTGTGATTAAAAAATGGTTAAAAATTATGATATATGTAAACTGCTAAAGATCAGGTAACATGAAAATCAGATAGGGGGGACTTGGGGAAACTCACCTAACAATGTTTAGAAAAAATAAGGATAAGACAAGAATTTGTTTGTATTGTTTTTTCCCCTGTTTGTGTTGTTTAGTTGTGTTATAAAATGAATTTAAAAAAGGAACTTTTTACCCCATGTGGTGGACCTGTCCCAAGGTGAAAGACTTCTGGAAAAAGATTTATAATGAGTTGAAAAAAATGTTGAAATATACATTTATAAAGAAACCAGAGGCCTTTCTTGGAATAATTGGTTTGGAACTGCCCAAGAAAGATGTTAAATTATTTTTGTATGCCACAACTGCTGCTCGAATTTTACTAGCTAAAAAGTGGAAAACGCAGGAACTACCTACGGTGGAAGAATGGCAGATGAAGATGATGGATTTCTTGGAGCTAGCCGACCTAACCGGAAGAGTCCGCGACCAGAAAGAGGAGGAGTATCAGGAACAATGGACAAAATTTAATGATTATTTAGTTAAATATGTTAAGTTAAACCAATTGGAAAAAGCTTGCAGGTACTTGATTGGCTTAGGGTTTTACATAAGTTAAGTATTAACATTAATCTAGAAACGAAAAGGATGTTAATTGTTCAAGTTAAATTTATAAGAACTTTATTTGGAAAACCGTTAAAAGGATATACATTGAAATTCAACCAAGGGGAAACGAGGAAGTCAATTAACAATGTTAATAAGTGTATCTTTAATAAGGCTATGATTTATGTTTGTTTGTTTGTTTATAATTGTGTGAAAATCAATAAAAAAAATTTGGGAGGGGAAATTTTTTAAATTTATAAGAACTTTATAAGAACTTTATTTGGAAAACCGTTAAAAGGATATACATTGAAATTCAACCAAGGGGAAACGAGGAAGTCAATTAACAATGTTAATAAGTGTATCTTTAATAAGGCTATGATTTATGTTTGTTTGTTTGTTTATAATTGTGTGAAAATCAATAAAAAAAAATTTGGGAGGGGAAATTTTTTGGGGGGAAATGAATTACCCCCCTGGCTCTTCCTACCTGTCTGCATTTCGGACCAGAGCTCTCCCATCCCGGACTCGACCAGGAAGGTGCGGCTGTGTCTGGAACGGCGGAGTTGTTCTCGGGCTGCAGGGAGACGAATCGGAAAGTAAGGCAGCAGCAAGATGGGGAAAACACACACACACACACAGAGAAGAAATGGAATAATCCCTTCGTTGTTTTGTTTTATAACCATAGAATGGACCCTGAAGATCTTCAATGCCCTGCAATGGAGGAAAATGTGATTGTCCCACACAGGGATCGAACCTACAATCTTGGCATTATCAGTACCACACTCGTAACCGACTGAGCTATCCAGCTCCTATTCTTTTCTTTTCTTTATTATTTATTTATATCCCGCCAGTCCTCCAAGCAGCACACGGTGGCGTACGACTCTCCACCTCCCCATGTCGTCTTCAAAACAACCCTGCGAGGTAGTTTGGACTGAGAGTGTGTAGCTGGCCCACGGTCACCCAGGGAGTTTCAATTGGACTAGTTGTAGATGAAAGTACAAGGTGCAAGCTTCCAGGTCACACTAACTCTTCGGCGGGGGAGCTAGGACCCTCGTACCTATGGGATTGCCTCTCCGCGTTCTGCCCCGCGGAGGACCTTAAAGTCCATAAATAGCAACACCCTAGAGGTCCCAGGCCCTAAGGAAGTCAGATTAGCCTCAACCAGAGCCAGGGCCTTCTCAACACTGGCCCCGGCCTGGTGAAACGCTCTGTCTCATGAGACCAGGGCCCTGCAGGATCTGATTTCTTTCCGCAGGGCCTGAAAGACAGAGTTATTCCACCTGGCCTTTGGCTTGGAATCAACTTGATTCCCTTCCCCTCTTTCCTTTCTCCTTCTGTGATGGAACTCCTATTTGGGGACTTCCCTGGCTTTTTTTCTGGCCCACGTAGGACCAGTCTGGATAGTTGGCCTTGGTGAAAATTTGACGTTTTCATCCCCCAAAAGTTTTTGATTTGAGTTTCTACTGAAATGAGGCTGCATTTTAATGTTGTATTTTAATCTTGTTTTTTAAGTTGTATTTCAATCAATTGTTTTTATGCCTGGTGTTAGCCGCCCTGGGCCCGGTCTTGGCTGGGGAGGGTGGGGTATAAATAAAATTATTATTATTATTATTATTATTATTATTATTATTATTATTATTATTATTTTTAGTTGAAGGTAAACAATAATTGAAAGCTGAAAGAAAACGCAGTGTGTGTCCAGGTATGGTTTTAACTGGACTCTTGGGTTGGCATTTCATGCTTTTCAGCTTAGATGTAACCCCAGTGCTCCAAAGGGTCCTAGGATTCTAGAGTCAGAAGGGCACCCAAAGGCCATCTAGTCTGGCCCCCTGCAATGCAGGAACTCTGCCTCTGGCCTTTGGCATCATCTTATTAGGAAGAGCACAGAAGGGAGCTGGAGAGAAGCAGATACACAGAGGGGTGTTCTTGCCTTCAGAAACCTCTCGGGCTGAGAATCATAGAACCAGCCCTAATCAGAAACGAACTACATAAGAAAAGATACCTACTAAACCAAACCAACAAAGATCTGCTCACTCTTCACCTCAAACTCTGTAACAAAATCCACCCTGCACTCTGGGACAAATGCAAACAACTAGCCGTCTGGAGAGCTGAAACTGAGACCTCACATAAGACAAACACACACACCAACAAACTCCACAAACTAGAGAAACGCCAGAAGCCCAGCCACCCTCCACAACAACCCATGAAACAAACAGTACATAACATATCAGACAGGATCCTCACCTCAACTGAAACCAAAGTACTCTCCAAAGGTTTCAACTTTGCAGTCGCCCCGAGACGCATCCCCACGGAAAACATCATATGCGGAGTCGAAGCTAGCCTAACCAAAATCAACCCAGATGAAGCCAATAAAATCAGACTTGAAGTCACCAACATCCTCTGCTCCAGCAAACCACCCAGAAGCAATTTACACAAAGAAGAACAGAAAGCACTCACCAACCTGAGGAAAGACAACAACATAATCATTCTCCCAGCAGACAAAGGTAATGCCACTGTTGTGATGAACACATCGGACTACCAAGCAAAACTATCAAATCTACTCCAAGACCCTACCTACCAACCTATAAAAACAGATCCCACCACCTATCTGGAAAAAACCACCAAATCCAAAATAAAAGCCTCTCCTATCAGTGAAGAAATCCAGCTAAGAATCATCCCCAGAGAAAAATCATCCAGATGCCCCAAACTCTACGGCCTCCCCAAGATACACAAAGAAGGAACACCACTCAGACCAATAGTCAGCTCCATAGGCTCACCTCTACAAAATCTCGCTAAATTTCTCGCTAAGCAACTTCAGCCCTATGCAGAATCCATCTCTTCACACGTTACAACTCCTTCCAGTTCATAGAAACAATAAAGAAGCAAAACCTACATCCCAATGACCTACTTGTGAGCTTCGATGTTGTATCTCTCTTCACACAAGTGCCCATTAATGAAGCCTTGACAGCCATTCAAAACAAATACAATCCCCCCGAATACATCCTGGACCTGACCAACCACTGCCTAACCAACACGTACTTCATCCACAATGGACAAAGATACAAACAGATAGAAGGAGCACCTATGGGATCACCACTCTCACCGGTCATCGCAAACCTGTACATGGAACACTTTGAAACCAATGCTTTAGACAAGTCAGAACACAAACCCAAACTTTGGCTCAGATATGTTGACGACACCTTTGTAATTTGGCCACACGGGAAGGAAAAACTAGATAGCTTCCTCACACATCTCAACAGCCTACACCCCAAAATACAATTCACTATGGAAATAGAAGCCAACAACCAACTTCCCTTCCTTGACGTCCTAATCTACAAAAAACCTGATGGCTCCCTAGGACACACTATCTACCGGAAAAAAACACACACCAACCGCTACTTACATGCACAATCACACCACCACCCTGCACAAATAAACTCCGTAGCCAAGACTCTCATCTCCAGAACCAAACGCCTGGCTGACAAAGACCACTTGACAACTGAGTTACAGAATCTCTCAAATGTGTTAATCGCCAATGGATACCAGCAAAACAGGGTTACGAAGCTAATCCAAAAAGAAACACCCCCCAAAAACCAAGACACAGAAGAAAACAATGGCATGGCCCTCCTTCCTTACATCAAGGGCACTACAGATAAAATTAGCAAAATCCTCCATAAACACAATATCAAAACAGCCTTTTGCACCAACCAAAAATAGCCAATATCCTCAGAAACCCCAAGGATAGAATCCAGTTGGAAAACCAAGGGGTCTATGAAATACCCTGCAAAGTCTGCCCAGCCACGTACATTGGACAAACAAACAGACGAATAAATGCACGTATCGCAGAACACAAGAATGCCGTCAAAAAAGAAGAAAAAACTTCCTCTCTTTTCCAACACATGAAAGAAACAGGACACGAAATTAATTTTGCAGATTCCAAATTGCTCTTTAACATGGAACATCACCACAAGAGAATAATCATGGAAGCCATCGAGATAGAGAAACACCCTCACAACATGAACAAGCGTGACGACACATCCCGCTTGCCAGACATCTGGAAATTAGCCCTCCCCACAAAAACCGACACCAGATCCAGAGGCACACAGAACGCCATCACCAATCAACCACACCAGACCCAAACCCAGACCCTCTCCACAGATAAATTACAGACACCATCCAGTAGCCAAACCATGGTGGAACCTCCGGATACTGCACCCCCCTGCAATCCCTACACAGATCTGGCTGGCACAGGCCACAAAACCACAGCTCGCCCCTATACACGAAGCCAAGCCAGAGCCAAGTTCAAGCCAAGTTCAAGAGGTCAAGACACGAAGGCTTTAGCAACTAATCCACACCTAATGACCCACCCAAGTGGTACTCAGGATATCACTCAAGAAATCACTCCAGATATCCCTCCAGTAATTAAGGAACAAAAGAAGAAAAGGCACACTAGCCTGGGAACTTCCTCTCTGCCCAGAACATTGGAGGCTATACACCACACCTCCTCAACAGTATTTATAGGAACTCAAACACTGAGATCCTGCCCTGTTCCAGTAACAAGAAGCCGAAAGCACCAGCCTGAAGATGACGAGTGAGACCTCGTCGAAACGTCGCCTAGACACCCCAACTTTTACACGGGAAGACACCCGAGGACACCAAAACCTGCATTCCTGTACCCGTGAAAATCTACGAAAGCATATATATATATATATATATATATATAGACGTGGGTGGCGCTGTGGGTAAAACCTCAGTGCCTAGGACTTGCCAATCGCATGGTCGGTGGTTTGAATCCCCACGGTGGGGTGAGCTCCCGTCTTTCGGTCCCAGCTCCTGCCCACCTAGCAGTTCGAAAGCACCCCTTAGTGCAAGTAGATAAATAGGTACTGCTTTATAGCGGGAAGGTAAACGGCGTTTCCGTGTGCTGAGCTGGTGCCGGCTCGCCAGAGCAGCTTCGTCACGCTGGCCACGTGACCCGGAAGTGTCTCCGGACAGCGCTGGCCCCTGGCCTCTTAAGTGAGATGGGCGCACAACCCTAGAGTCGGACACGACTGGCCCGTACGGGCAGGGGTACCTTTACCATATATATATATATATATATATATATATATATATATATATATGTTTGGGGGTACTCTCATTTTGACTCAAGAAAAAACCAACATTTTATATTTCAAATCGGGGGGAAAATAAATACAGTAAATGGACAAAAGCACAAAGATACACAAAATGTTTAGGGGGGTGCATACCCCTGTGTACCCCCGGGAAAAAAAGCTCTGCATGGAACTGTAGAAATGGAAGGGGGCCCCCAAGAGTCTCAGTAGTGGCACCCACCCTGTGGAACTCCCTCCCACCAGATGTCAAAGAGAACAACAACCACCAGACTTTAAGAAGACATCTGAAGGCAGCCCTGTTCAGGGAAGCTTTTAATGTTTGATGCATTACTGTATTTTAATATTTTGTTGGAAGCTGCCAGAGTGGCTGGGGAAACCCAGCCAGATGGGCGAGGTATAAATTATTATTGTTGTTGTTGCTGTTGTTATTTAGTCCAACCCTTTGCAATGCAGGAATCACAGCTAACACCACTAATAAATGAGGCAGAGACTCAAGATCTGACTCTCTCCTCCATCGGACCAATGGTTGCAAAAATCGTTTGGGCAAGGAAATGGGGAGATTGGGATCACTCTGCAGAAGTCCAGGAGCAATGCTCAGCAATCTGAAGTTGTTCTGGAGTCACCACGAGCAAAATCTGGAGCGCCTTGGGTAAAAGCAGCACCACAGTGCAGGCCAGATGGTCCGTGGTGGGGCTGAGGACAGTAAGTCTTCCCCGCCCTCCGCCCCCCAAGGCTAAACAGATGTAGGGAAGCTCCCTGACCTGGCCAAGGTTTCAGGAAACAGGCCATTTCCCCACAACTTCCCTCTTGAGAATCTCCTGGCTTCCGGCTTCCCTCCCTTGGCTTCAAGACAGAAGCCTTTCTTTAGAATTGCAGTGGATGCTCGGGCTGCGAACGGGATCCGTGCGGGACATAGCTGTCAACTTGCATATTTGAAAATAAGGGACCAGCAGCCTCGAAAATAAGGGATCAGCAGCCAAAATAAGGGAGTTTCCAAACACAGGTATGTTCAACTTTTGAGCCCCTCCGAGCTCCCTCCCTGTGGAACGCCCTCCTATCAGATGTCAAAGAGAACAACAACTACCTGACATTTAGAAGACATGTGAAGGAAGCGCTGTTTAGGGAAGTTTTTAATGTGTGACAATTTAATGTATTTTTACATCCTATCAGATGTCAAGGAAATAAACAACTATCTGTCTTTTAGAAGATGGTGCTGACCTTTAAAGCCCTAAATGGACTTGGTCCAGTATACCTGCAGGAGCGTCTCCACCCCCATTGTTCTGCCCGGACACTGAGGTCCAGCGCCGAGGGCCTTCTGGAGGTTCCCTCGCTGCGAGATGCCAAGTTTCAGGGAACCAGGCAGAGGGCCTTCTCAGTGGTGGCACCCGCCCTGTGGAACGCCCTCTCATCAGATGTCAACTTTTAGAAGACATCTGAAGGCAGCCCTCTTCAGGGAAGCTTTTAATGTTTAACAGACCACTGTATTTTTTAAATTTATTTTTTTTAGACCACTGTATTTTAATACTTTGTTGGAAGCTGCCCAGAGTGGCTGGGGAAACCCAGCCAGATGGGCGGGGTATAAATAATAAATTCTATTCTATCCTAATTGTAGGGCTGGCCCTGCAGATCATCTCTATGGTTTTGTGTTCAGAAAGGGTCCCAAGACTGTTGATCTGAGACAGGGGTTGAATAACTTCTGCTTAGAAGGAGAGGGGCGCTGTGGTTCAGATCCTGGAAACTTCAGGCATGGCACATGCTGGTGGACTCCAGAAAGGCTCCCTCAGCTCTCTTTCCTACAGGCAGAGCTGCAGAAGACTCCGCGAAGCTGTTTGCAGTGAGACGGGCTCTTTATTAACTGTGGTTTGTTCTGCTAATAAAATCAAATGAAGACCAGATGTGTGGAAACCTTAATTTAAACCACTGTCTTCTGATGCTTTCCCCCTTTTCTTACTGTTTTTAAAACCGCTCCGTCAGAGAATAGGAGGCCCAAGAGGGAAAACTGGGTGGAGCTGGGTAGAAGATGCACACACCACCTGCGGAACTCACTGCCACAAGATATTCTCCCATCTCTTGCGGGGGCGCAATTAGTGCCAGCACTGTCTGTTAAGAGTTTGGGTGTAATCTTCGACACCTCCCTTTCCATGGAGGCGCAGATTGCAGCTATAACAAAGGCGGCATTTTTTCATCTCCGCCAAGCTAAGCAGTTGGCTCCTTACCTCTCTTGCCCTGACCTAGCCACTGTGATCCATGCGACGGTCACCTCCAGACTGGATTATTGCTCTACGTGGGGCTGCCCTTGAGACTGACCCAGAAACTCCAGCGGGTGCAGAATGCCACAGCGAGACTCCTTATGGGGTCCTCACCGCAGGATCACATTCACCGGTGCTATACCAGCTGCACTGGCTCGCTCCAGAGCGCAGGATCCCTGCATCTTACCCTGCCTGAAGCTGGAATCGATGGACAGATCCGACATGAGTCCGTTGGCCTGGGGCTTGTAGCTCAAGTCGATCAGCTGGTTGAGGCGGAGTTTGCGGCAGTAGATGGAGGCTGCTTCTGGCTCCAGCGCAATCAGGAGCTGCTCAGGGTTTTCTGAAGGAACCAGCCCAGCCTGGAGGAAGGAAGAGAAAAGAGGTCACTGGGAGGAAGGAGTCGTTGCAGAAGACAGCCCAAAAATCTCTCTGGAGAGCCCCTGGCAACAGCCGCTCCTGGAGGAGTGATTAACATCATCCATAGAAATATGCAGTGCAGAATTCATTGGGCAAGGCAGTTTGCATGCCTTCCAACATTCCTTCACCTATATATATGTATGGAAGTGAGAGCTGGACCACAAGCAAGGCTGATCGCCAAAGTATTGATGCTTTTGAATTATGGTGCTGGAGGAGACTCTTGAGAGTCCCATGGACTGCAAGAAGATCAAACCTATCCATTCCTAAAGAAATCAGCCCTGAGTGCTCACTGGAAGGACAGATCCTGAAGCTGAGGCTCCAAGACTTTGGCCACCTCATGAGAAGAGAAGACTACCTGGAGAAGACCCTGATGTTGGGAAAGATGGAGGGCACAAGGAGAAGGGGACGACAGAGGACGAGATGGTTGGACAGTGTTCTCGGAGCTACCAGCATGAGATTGACCAAATTGCGGGAGGCAGTGGAAGACAGGAGTGTCTGGCGTGCTCTGGTCCAGGGGGTCACGAAGAGGCGGACACGACTAAATGACTAAACAACACACACACACACACACACACAATTAGTTTTTTAACATATCATTTTCAACAATTATTAAACATACTTTTATATCTTATACAATTTTTTGACTTCCATCAATCACATTTGAAAATTTTCCCATCTTTTCCACTTCATTTACATTTCATACTTTCACTGTTACATTTAAATATCCTAACTAATGTCTCTCTTCTTTGCAATATTTCATATATTCCTCCTTACAAAACTTCTTGTAGTCCTACTAGCGTTATATGTTGATTACAGTTGCTCTTCAAATAATTCGTATATTTCTTCCAATCTTCTGTAAATCTCTGGTCCCGCAGGTTTCGAATCCTTCCTGTCATTTTATCCAATTTTGCACAGTCCATTAATTTTGTCTGCCATTCTTCTTTCGTCGGAATTTCTTCTTGCTTCCATTTCTGGGCCAACAATACTCTTGCTACCCTCCAACATTTCTCTGATGAAAATAAGGACGTCCTATTCCATAACAGTAGTTTTACTATTTATACCCCTTCCATCTGACTGGGTTGCCCCAGCCACTGTGGGCAAATTCCCACATATATAAAAAAATAATAAAACATTAAACATTAAAAAACTTCCCTATACAAGGCTTCCTTCAGATGGCTCAGAGGTCTGACAACTCCATACCTTCCAACATTTCTCCAATGAAAATAGGGACACCCTAAGACATCACCTTGCCAACAAAGGTCCGTATAGTTAAAGCTATGGTTTTCCCAGTAGTGATGTATGGAAGTGAGAGCTGGACCATAAAGAAGGCTGATCGCTGAAGAATGGTTTATGGTGCTGGAGGAGACTCTTGAGAGTCCCATGGACTGCAAGAAGATCAAACCTCTCCATTCTGAAAGAAATCAGCCCTGAGTGCTCACTGGAAGGACAGATCCTGAAGCTGAGGCTCCAAGACTTTGGCCACCTCATGAGAAGAGAAGACTCCCTGGAAAAGACCCTGATGTTGGGAAAGATGGAGGGCACAAGGAGAAGGGGACGACAGAGGACGAGATGGGTGGACAGTGTTCTCTAAGCTACAAACATGAGTTTGACCAAACTGCGCGAGGCAGTGGAAGACAGAAGTGCCTGACATGCTCTGGTTCAGGGGGTCACGAAGAGTCCGACACGACTAAAGGACTAAACAACAACAACAAAGGAAAAGGTGGACATTCCAAGATAAAATCAGAAACTGGGACAGCTTATGTAAATCAGGGTTGTCCCTGGAAAATAGGGACACTTGGAGGATCTGAGTTGGAGCATTTTACAGCAGCAAGAATGTTGTTTGCCCAAAAATGGAAAGAAGAAGAAATCCTAAGGAAAGAAGAATGGATGCAAAAAACTTATGGAATATGCAGAAATGGCAAAACGTACCAGAAAAATAAGAAATCAAGATAACCAACTTTTTATAAAAGAATGGAAATGGTTCATTGAACATCTACAAACAAATTGTAAACAGATAAGGACGTTGGCAGGATTATTGTAACAACCTGCAGTTTTACAAGAGTATATAATTAAAGTAGATTAATAAAAGAATAACTTAAGTTTATTTAGAATATGCAGGAAATGATAAAAATAAATTTAAGGAACCACACAAAGAGGAGGAAGGAAGTCATGTTTTGAAGTGTTAAAATGACTGCAAAAATGACTGATGTTGTTGAACTACAACTCCCATCACCCCTAGCTAGCAAGACCAGAGGTCAGGGATGATGGGAGTTGTAGTCCAACAACATCTGGGGACCCACAGGTTGAGAACCGCTGTCCTAGACAATGACAGTTCTCTTTCTCAAGCTCTGGGAGGAAGACCTTTCATTGCCTACTGACAGCCACCCAATCTTAAACAGTTCCTCGCCCACAATAATACAGCAACCAGACTTAACATGGACACTGGTACCAGAGCCTGCAATAAACCTAGATGCCAACTTTGCTGCCGCATACACCCAGACAACACCATCACTGGACCCAACAACATCTATAACAATACCATCTCAGGCCTATTTAATGGCTCATCTTCTAATGTTTAGTTGGAATCCCCTTTCTTGTAACTTGAAGCCATTGGCTCATGTCCTACCCTCCAGAGCAGGAGAAAACAAGCTTGCCCCATCTTCCATGTGATGGGCCTTGAGATATGTGAAGATGGCTATCATATCTCCTCTATTCCAGCCTAAATGTACCCAGCTCCTTCAACCATTCCTCATAAGGCTTGGCTTCTAGACCCTTGATCATCCTGCTTGCCCTCCTCTGCACACATTCCAGCTCGTCAACATCCTTCTCAAATTGTGGTGCCCAGAACTGGACACAGGAGGACTCCAGGTGTGGTCTGGCCAAGTCAGAAGAGAGCAGTACTATGACTTCCCTTGATCTGGACACTAGACTTCTGTTGATGCAGCCTGGAAGAGCCATGGCTTTTTCACTCACCAGGTAGGCAGCCTCCCTCATGAACTGCTTGGCAGGCTGTTTCCAGATGGCCGGCACTGTGATCACCCACCGGATGGCATCTTTCTCTGGCAAGGCTGGGCACTGGTCCTTCAGTTCCTGCAAGTCACAAGGAACAAAGCAGGAGGCATTGAGTCTCCACAGGCTCCAAGAAACGGAGGAAGAAGGGAGCAACCATAGGAAGGAGAGGCAAACTTATTCACTGACACGGCTAAAAATTGGCCACTGTTTCTTTAATGCTAAAAGAACTAAATCAGCATGAGTCAGTGGCCTGCAATGACTCATGAAACCTTTCACCAAATTGTACCGGTATATATAGAGTGGTCAATGTTAGTGTTGGGTGTTGGGTTGGATGGATGGATGGTAGAAAGCTGGTTGTGTTTGGTGTTTGTAAAAGCTGTCAGCCGTGGTTGGAAAAGAAGACTTTTTAAGAATAAAAGCAGCAATACTCTGCAAGAATAAAAAGGTAAAGGTACCCCTGCCTGTACAGGCCAGTCTTGACAGACTCTGGGGTTGTGCGCCCATCTCACTCTATAGGCCGGGGGCCAGCGCTGTCCGGAGACACTTCCGGGTCACGTGGCCAGCATGACATCGCTGCTCTGGTGAGCCAGAGCCGCACACGGAAACGCCGTTTACCTTCCCGCCAGTAAGCGGTCCCTATTTATCTACTTGCACTCGGGGGTGCTTTCGAACTGCTAGGTTGGCAGGTGCTGGGACCGAGCAGCGGGAGCACACCCCGCCGCGGGGATTCGAACCGCTGACCTTTCGATCGGCAAGCCCTAGGCGCTGAGGCTTTTACCCACAGCGCCACCCACGTCCCTTCACTCTGCAAGAATACTCTTTCTCAAAGACTCTTTTGTGCCAACTAAAGTCTGAGGACTAGGCCAGGGAGTAAAAAGGAGGTCAGAACCTTTTCTTTTCCGAACACTGACATTCACTGCTACTTCTAACTGGAAGGAATGCAGGTTGTTGCAAGGTAACACGCAGATAGCTGCCTGGCAGCCATGTCCCAGGTCAGGCCATGATATTTTGCTGCCTGCAGTGGAGCCCAAATGCTGCCTCCTCCACACAATTTGGACCACCACCTTCAAGGTCCTCCTGTGACATCCAAACACCAATTCTTCCCTCTTCTCTGCCCTTCTCTCCCTGGAGGTGCCTGAATCCAGTCACTCTTCTGTGCTGCTGCAGCCCTGGAAATTGCCATATCGCGGGTGCCTCCCAAATCTGTTTGGAGAGGGAGATATCGGAGATGTGGGGCCACCACTGAAAAGGCTGCTTCTCCGGTTGGCACCTACCTCAGCTTGGAGAAGGGCCTGTGTAGCTGATTTGAGCTTTGTGATCAGGCAAGCTTACAGGGGAGAAGGTGGCTCTTTGGGTTATTCTGGTCCTAAGCTGTGTGTGTGTGTGTGTGTGTGTGTGTGTCCATGCACAGGGGTCCTGAAAACCTATCCCACAGTGTTTCTTCCTCACCTTGCTGTTCCCTGCTTGCATTAGAATGGAAAAGAAGCTTTCTATTGCAACAAAGGGCTTTTTCTAAGCCTAACTGCAGCACACAAGTAATGGGGGGGGGGGGGAGTAAGCTGCAATATAGGGCATGGATGCCCCTCCAGAGGGCAACAGTGCAATAACATTGGGGGAAGCACTGCAGAAGAACTAATAAAGCAGAATGATGAACTGGCTAGATTAAAAGAGGCAATTAGAGATCACACTAGACAAGAATTTCAAAAAAGCATGGGGAAAATGCCGAGAATACTTCACAAAACACTGCCCTAAAAATCATACCTGGACTTGTTTCAATTAATGTCTGGAGGAGACTTTGTGGATATTTAAGTTATAATTAGAAAAATCTTAATAATTATTCATAAAGGAAACAGCTTATAAGTATTTACTTCTTATAAGGAGGCCAGATACAGGATAAAGGAAGTGTTTTATTTGGTTGTTTGTATTGTTGTATGTTATGCTTATAGTTTGTTATGTTCGTGTTTAATGAGGGAGGATTTCTGTTTATGTTATGTTGTAAATAAGATTTCCAATAAAAATTTAAAAATATAATAAAGCCGAATGATGTCCGGTGTATAAACCCACCTCGAATGCAGTATTATGGTATCAGTAACATGTTTTAGAAAACCCCTGCAAAGGAACTGCCATCTACAGGGGCCCCAAGTCTGCGAAGAAGAAATATTAGCAAAAAGGGGGTCTCTGAGTGGGGAAGAAACTGTGGGAGAGGCTAAAAAGGAGACCGTAACAAATTATTTCGGTGGAGGAGAAACACCAGCCGGTCAAATGCCTTCTCCAGGCAATTGCAGAAAGTTATTTCACGCCCAGCCGAATTTTGCCTCTGTGTGACTTCTCTGCATGACGGACATGCGCCTCTGGGTGCCTCCCCCCCTTCCCTTACCTGCAGTGCTTGTCGCTTAAAGAAGTGGAGAGCATGCGCAAAGACCTGCAGAGCCTGCACCTTCTTCCCATTCACTGCTTCCAGTTCGGTTTTCATGGTTAAGTCCTAGCAAAAGAGGAGGGAAACAGAGATGGATTGCTCTCAGTTCATTCAACAGCCCCCGTCTTTGGACATCCAGGGGAGCAAGCTTGTCCTTTGTTCCTTCCCGTATAGGCTTTCTCCACGGGGAACTGACCAGGGTCCTGATCTTCTCCCACCGACACGCCCTGCCCCCTTGTTACCGTACATCTCACCTGGACTCCTGCCGGCTTCTACCCTCAAGGGGGCATACACAGGCCCCTTGAGCCTCTCATAAATATTCCCTTCTCCATCTGCATGCTTCCACATAGACCACCACCCCGTGACAGACTGCCAGGTTTCCTAAGGGCATTGCAACTCCATTTTTAAGCTAGTCTTAAGCATGTCTTTGTAACCGAATTGTCCTTTTCAGCCTGCCTGAGCAAAGCTGCTCTGTTACTCTTCAAGAAGTATTCTGAGTGAGTAAATGTCATTTTACCTTGTTTTTGATTGTTATATTAAGGGGGGAGATGGAGTAATGCTAGGAGAACCCAGTCTGCCTTAAAGCATCTTGAATTCCCAATGTCTCAACAAATGAAACTGATTTGTAAAAATGTTACATGGGGGAAAAAATATGAGGGAGACATTGCAAACACTTTTGTAAAACAAGAAAATCTTTAATAAAAAAACAAACAAAAATTAAATGCTAAAACTAGCCTATCTAAGCTTCCCTTTTAAGATGGAAAGGGATACCATTCTGCTGAACTCACAAACATGAGGAAGGAAGGACCGTATCTAATAAATATATCTTCTCTTAGCATCTATCCATATTCCAACATGACCATCAGCTGCAAATTGCACATGGGAGTTTGAAGATCACCTGGGAGATCATCTGTGTCATGGCCCAATGGAACAGACAGAACCTCCCTGAAGGCAAACGGGTTTAATAATAATAATAATAATAATAAATTTTATTTATATCCCGCCCTCCCCAGCCGAAGCCGGGCTCAGGGCGGCTAACAACACTAAAACAGTGCAACATTATAAATACATTCTAAAAATTAATTAAAATACAAATTGATGGCAACCATAGACTAAAGCTTTGTAGAGATTGCCAAAGGAGGGAGTCAGGCTGCGCCCTGACCAAAGGCCTGGTGGAACAGCTCTGTCTTACAGGCCCTGCGAAAAGATGTCAAGTCCTGCAGGGCCCTTGTCTCTTGCGACAGAGCGTTCCACCAGGTTGGAGCCGCAGCCGAAAAAGCTCTGGCTCTAGTTGAGGCCAGCCTAACCTCTCTGTGGCCTGGGACCTTCAAGATGTTTTTATTTGAAGACCGTAAGTTCCTCTGTGGGGCATACCAGGAGAGGCGGTCCCGTAGGTACGAGGGTCCTAGGCCGTATAGGGCTTTGAAGGTTAAAACCAGCACCTTAAACCTGATCCTGTACTCCACCGGGAGCCAGTGCAGCTGGTATAGCACCGGATGAATGTGATCTCGCAGCGAAGACCCCATAAGGAGTCTCGCTGCGGCATTCTGCACCCGCTGGAGTTTCTGGGTCAGTCTCAAGGGCAGCCCCACGTAGAGCGAGTTACAATAATCCAGTCTGGAGGTGACCGTCGCGTGGATCACAGTGGCTAGGTCAGGGCGAGAGAGGTAAGGAGCCAACTACTTAGCCTGGCGGAGATGAAAAAATGCCGCCTTTGTTATAGCTGCAATCTGCGCCTCCATGGAGAGGGAGGTGTCCTCTTAGTAGCTTAATTCAAAGTGTTCACACGGCATTCTTAACAAAACAGATGTGCACAAACAGGTTGGAATCACCAACTCCTGCCTTTGGGTTATCAGAACCTGCCTAACTTGTTCCTGGTCGTCTCTGAGAGCTCAGAGTTTGAGATATCAACACCAATCATCAGACCTCTCTTTGGAAAGGGAAAAAACCAAACAACTGAGAGAGGCTGCTTTCATTTTGGATAAACAGCACCCAGCATCCAGGAGAGGCTTGTGGGCGACTGAAAACTGAAGGTCACTTTTGCTGCGTTGTTCTCAACGAAGAATGCAACAAACATCTTGCAAAATAAATACAGCAGAATAGATTGAAGCCTTGTGGATACAAATTGCACAAATTGCTTTCCTTCACTGGAGGTTTTGAAGCAGAGATTGGATGGGCATCTGTTCAGGATACTTTAGCTGGGATCCCTGCATTGCAGGGGTCATCTAGTCCAACCCCTTGCAATGCAGGAATCTCAGCTAAAGCATCCCTGACAGATGGCCACCCAACCTCTGCTTAAAAACCTTCAAGGAAGGAGGGTGTGATGGCCTGGGACTTGGGCTCGGACTCGGAGCCAGAGGAGTCTCAGTCCGCACTGGATCCTTTGCCTCAGGTGGCATCTGAACCTAGTCTCAGGCCTGACCCTGAAGAGTCCCAGTCTGCATAGGTTCCCCTGCAACAAGCACCAGCTGGGCCGAATCAGGGGCCTGAGCCTGCCCTGGCTCCAGATGCGGGGATGACCTCGTTGCCTTCAGCTGGGCCATCACTTACAGCTGCTCCACTACTGGTTGGGTCAGGGGAGGCTGAGGCAGCCTCTGGGTCTAGTAACCCACCGATGTCTCCTGAGCTGCAGAGACTGAGGTCTGAGAGAAGGAGAGACCTGAGTACTCACAGGAGCAGTGCTCGCCTTTGGGCTAAACAGGCAGGTGAGACACCAGGGGATCAGGATCGGCCATTACCCCGACAAAGATAAAAGGCTGCCGGACCCTGCCCCAGGTTGCGGGAGCAACGTTGCTGTTTGCCAGAACCTGCCTGTGATCCTGTACCTGACCTAGCCCAGTTTCCTGCCTTGGCCCTGTCGGACTGACTCCTCACGGAATCCTTGGATTCGGAACCGGATCTGGACCGCGTGGCTCGGGTTAACCCCCGGGCCCAGCACAGAGAGTCCAGAACCTGCTGTGGCTCGACCATTCCACCTTCAAACCGTCCTTGTGAGCTGAAATATTCAGCCTCAGGGCTGAGAGGAATTTGTTGGCTGCCCTGAAACTGCTTCCATATCCCATCAGTCGGGGATACTGTGCCTTGCCTGGCCCCCCCAAGGAGGCTTCAGCCGCTGAACTCACGCTAGTGCTGTGGATCTTCATTTTGAACTTCTCAAAGTACAGCCAGTCGCGAGCTTCGTCAGGATCCAGGTCGTGGTAGTAGTCCCTGGCGGTGTAGCCAAAGCTGTGGAAACTGCCATCCGGAGTCAGGAGGAGGCTGGTGGGGGTCTTCTGGTGGGCTACTCCTGGGTCTCCGCCTTCCCATTTCCTGGAAGGAGGGGTCAGAAAGTGGGTTGACTTGTCTGTGTCCTAAACAGGTGTGGGGAACCACAGATGCAACGGCTGGGTGGTGTCCCCCCAAGCCCCTCTATTCAGCCCACGGACTTACTGAAAGAGGTCGCACCCCCCCCCTTCCCAGTCCTCTTCCCTCACTGGTCCACAACCTGCTACACAACTGGAGCATCCACAGGCAAGGCAGCTGTAAGGGCAGTTGGCCCTCCACCAATAAACCCAGGTAATAATAATATTATTATTAATAATAATAATACATTTTTATTTATACCCCGCCCTTCCTGGTTCAAAAACCGGGCTCAGGGCAGCTAACAACAAATTTAAAACACATATTTGTAAAAACAGCATAAAATACAGCATAAAAACATGAATAACAATAAAATTCAAAGTTCTCAAATCAATTTAGGGGAAACCCATCTAATAAGCATTAGATAATCCCCAGGGCTAGCTGGCTGAATTGGTCCTACTTGGGCCAGTGAGGAGGCCAGGGGAGAATTAGCTGTGGGGTCTCAGAGCGGTTAATCTTCATAAAAGGGGAGGGGGGGAGAGAAGGGAAATAAAAGATCAGGCTGAATTCAAATTAAAGGCCAGACGGAATAGTTCTGTCTTACAGGCCCGATGGAAGGAAATTAAATCCTGTAGGGCCCTGGTCTCATGGGACAGAGCATTCCACCAGGTCGGAGCCATCACTGAAAAGGCCCTGGCCCTGGTGGAGGATAGTCTGACTTCCTTAGGGCTCAGGACCTCTAAGCTATGGTTGTTCATGGACCTTAAGGTCCTCTGCAGAGCATACCAGGAGAGGCGGTCCCGTATACGAGGGCCCTAAGCCACAAAGGGCTTTAAAGGTCAAGACCAGCACCTTGAACCTGACCCTGTACTCCACCGGGAGCCAGTGCAACTGGTAAAGCACTGGGTGAATATGCTCCCATGGCAGAGACCCCTTGAGGAGCATCGCTGCTGCATTCTGCACCCACTGGAGTTTCTGGGACAGCTTCAAGGGCAGCCCCACGTAGAGCGAATTACAGTAGTCAAGCCTGGAGGTGTCCGTCGCATGGATCACTGTGGCCAGGTCGGGGCAGGAAAGGTAAGGGACCAACTGCTTGATGCAGCAAAGGTGGAAAAATGTTGCCTTAGCTGTTGCTGTAACCTGTGCCTCCGTAGAAAGGGAGGCGTCAAGGATTACACCCAAACTCTTAATGGAAGGCACTGGCACTAATTGGGCCCCCACAAGAGAAGGTACAGGTACAGGTAAAATTCATGTCAGGGACTGGTGGAGACCGCCTTCCCAGCCTGACCCTTCCAGAGAAGAAGACGACAGTTCAGAATTTGAGGGAGGTCACAGCTCAGAGGCAGATGAGGGGAAAAGCTGGGAAATAATGGGAGAGGACGAGGAAGAAGCACAGCTGACGGACACAGAGTCTTTGGAAAGCATTCCAGACCCTCCCTCTCCCAGAACCCGGCGGGCCTTGAAAGTAGGAGAGCAAAGAGCTCAAAGGCAGAGGCATAGCTGTCAACATTTCCCTTTTCTTGCGAGGAATCCTATTCGGAATAAGGGAATGCACTTTTCAGCACCCGTAGCGATGGTGCATGAGAGAGAGAGAGTGGGTGGAGACCCACTCGGGGCAACGCCATTCTTCCAAGAGGCGGCATTCCCTAGCCTCTCTCTGTGAATATTGAATAAAAAGCAGTTGCTAAGAACTTTTCTTTGTCTTATCCATTCCTGGCGACCAGCCGTGGGGGTTGGATCCTGTGCCGCCTGACAGTTCACCCTTCAACCTCACAGAGGGGGATTTTAAGAAGGTGAATGTTTAACGCAGGGCGAGGCTTGCAAGGAATTCATTTTGACCTTCTTATATTTGTAGAATCGTAAGGTAAAAGGTAAAGGTACCCCTGCCCGTACGGGCCAGTCTTGACAGACTCTGGGGTTGTGCGCTCATCTCACTCAAGAGGCCGGGAGCCAGCGCTGTCCGCAGACACTTCTGGGTCACGTGGCCAGCGTGACAAGCTGCATCTGGCGAGCCAGCGCAGCACACGGAAACGCCGTTTACCTTCCCGCTTGTAAGCGGTCCCTATTTATCTACTTGCACCCGGGGGTGCTTTCGAACTGCTAGGTTGGCAGGTTGTAGAATCGTAGGGGACCCCAAAGGCCATCTAGTCCAACCCCCTGCAATGCAGGACTCTTCCTCCCAGCAATGCCACGTACCTCATCATGTGGATGGCCTCTGGGTCACTGGCAAAACTGAAGGCGTAGCCGCTGGACGTGGTCCCAAAGTCGATGGCTACCACTACAGAGAAGGGAGTGGTTTGGCGCATCCGGATTTCATTCCTCTAGAAACAGAAGGCAGAGGATTCAGTTCCTGAAGGGCAATTTCGCCACACCCGACTAATAATCTGTGGGCTTAGCCTTCCCCCCCCCCCCCCGATGATTTGGACAACAACTTCCATCAGTCCCAGACCAGGGCAGATAGGATTTGTAGTCTGATCCCTATGGAGGACCCCCAAACGGTCAAGACTGGCTTAACCCATTTCTCAGAGTGAGGTGGTGGAATCCCAGACTGTTCCACTGCAGGCTAGATGGTGGAGGATTGCTTTAGCATTGTAGACTGGGAAGGGACCCCAAGGGTCATCTAGATCAACCCCTGTGATGCAGGAATCTGAACAATTCACTTTTAAAAAATGCTTCCCACCTAAGTAAATAAAACTGGGAGGTAGGGGGAAAGAGACAGAGAACTGTTGTAGGCAGCAGGCTTAAGACAAGCGAAAAGGACGTGTTTCGCACACTGCAGGTGGCCTCTGGGACTCACTGCCACAAGACGCTGTGACAACCGCTTTTTAAACAAGGCCGGATGAATACTCAAAGGGACATGGCAGGCAATAGACTGGACTTAGGCTATTTTGGATAGGGGGAGCAGGGGTTATCACCCTCACACCCTGCCTGTGAACCTCCCCAGGGCACTGCTCTGAATTTGGTAGGTTTTTGGTTCGCATGCCATTCTCCCTGCTTACCGGCGACTGGGACGGCGTCAGAGGGGCGATGTTGCAGCTTTCGTTGTGGAGTCGGGGAGAGTTTTGGGGAGATGGGGTGCGGGATCGCTCTCTGTTTGCACCTGGCGGATAAGAAGAGATAGGTAGGTTTGCGAAAGCCCCTGTCCTGGTCACCAAGAATGAGTGGGAATCTCCCTCGAGGTGACTAGGAAGGGATGCAGTTATTTTTAATCCTATCAGCTCTTTGCTTTCTTTCAGGCTCCTCATTTGCAGGGTTGAAAAGGAAGTATGAAAGGAATAAAGGAAGCTGCCTTAGATACAGAGTCAGCCCATTGGTCAATCTAGGAAGAACCACACCGTTTAAAGCACATTTGATGCCAATTTAAAGCACATGATCTTCCTCCAAAGAATCCAGGGAATTTAACCCTTATTAAAAACTACCCTTAATCTGGGTAGTTTGACCCTGGCAGAGTTACAGTTCCTTCCAGCATTAGCAAACTACAGCTTCCAGGATTCTTTGGGAGGAAGTTGTAACTGGTGAACCAGAGCAGTGCACGGAAATGCCGTTTACCTTCCCACCGGAGCGGTACCTATTTATCTACTTGCACTGTGACGTGCTTTCGAACTGCTAGGTTGGCAGGAGCTGGGACCGAGCAATGGGAGCTCACCCCATCACGGGGATTTGAACCGCTGACCTTCTGATTGGCAAGCCCTAGGCTCTGTGGTCTAGACCACAGCGCCACCTGCATCCCGCAGGCAGTCATAATCCTGCTCTATTCTGCCCTGGTCAGACCACACCTGAAGTCCAGTGTCCAGTTCTGGGCACCACAATATAAGGCTACTGAAAGACTGGAATATGTACAGAGGAAGGCAACCATGATGATCAAGGGTCTGGAGACCAAGTCATATGAGGAACAGTTGAAGGAATTGGGTATGTTTAGCCTGGTAAAGGAGAGACAGAGGAGATAGGATAGCTATCTTCAAATATCTAAAGCTGTGGATTCCAACCAGTGTCCTGTGGCCCCCTGGGGTGCCTTGAATGCTGGCCAGGGGCGCCACGGGCAACACTGGCCTCTGTCCCTCTTTCCTTCCCTCCCTCCTCTGGTGCCCTCTTGCATCTCTGCCTCCCAAAGACTTGCACAGACATTTACTGCAGCAGCCCTGGCTATAAGCTCTGCAGGTGAATGGTGCCTGTGAGAAGCACCTCTCTTTGGGGCAGGGTGGGGGGCAGCTCAGAGACCAGGGACAGCAGGAGCGGCTGCCCAGAGGACTCCCAAGAAGGGAGAGGAGAGGAGGGCATACTCCGCAAAGGAAGGTGTTCAAAAAAGGGTGAGAGGTTGCCAGCTCTGCAGGCAAGGGGTGACCTAACTGGGCTCCTGAGCCCCACAGCAGAACAACAGAAAGAATGTAGTTGGTCAAGGGAGCCATGGACCCAAGAAGGTTGAAAATCTCTGCCTTAGACGCGTTAGGGACTCCCCATGCATGCAAAGACAGGCTCCTGAGGATTGAGCAGACAAGACCAATAGCGGGTCCAACAGCCAAGAAGATGGTTTCTGTACATGCTGTAGAGCAGGGGTTCTCAACCTGTGGATCCCCAGATGATGTTGGACTACAACTCCCATCATCCCTGAGCTCTGGCCTTGCTAGCTAGGGGTGATGGGAGTTGTAGTCCAATAACATCTGGGGACCCACAGGTTGAGAAAGGCTGCTGTAGAGGGAAGTGAGGGGCAGATGGGGCTCGTCCACCTGGGAAGTCATGCACCTAGGAGAAAGAAGACTCTGGTCCTCAACCTACCCTGCCGGCAAAGCCTGACCTGGAACCACCTATACAGCCTAGGACCCTCATACCTACGGGACCGCCTCTCCTGGTATGTCCCATGGAGGACCTTATGGTCTTCAAACAAAAACATCTTGGAGGTCCCGGGCCACAGGGAGGTTAGGCTGGCCTCAACCAGAGCCAGGGCTTTTTTGGCTGTGGCCCCGATCTGGTGGAACGCTCTGCCACAAGAGACCAGGGCCCTGCGGGACTTGACATCTTTCCACAGGGCCTGCAAGACAGAGCTGTTCCACCAGGCCTTTGGCCAAGGCACAGTCTGACCCCCTCCTTCTGTAATCCTCACAGAACTCTAGACCAGTGTTTCCCAACCGGTGTTCCGCGGCACACTAGTGTGCCGTGAGGCGTTGCCTGGTGTGCCGTGGGAGGGAGGCGGGCGAGTCGGGCGGCGAGAGGCGGGGCGGCGGCGGCGAGGATCCGCGTCGAGCCGGGGGCGGCTCCGCGGTGGTGGTGCCGAGGTTTCTCTCTCCATTCTCCCCTCACACACACACACAGGAAATAACACAGGATCAGCTGACAGGACCCGGCCAATGGGGCGGCGGCGGGGCAGCGCGCGCAAAAGGGAGGAGCGCGAGACAGCGGACGAGGAGGAGGCCGGCATGTCCGGGCAGCAGCAGCAACAACAGCAGCAGCAACTCCCGGCGAAGGCTCCTCAAGCCCCGGGCAACCCTACTCCCTCACCGGCCTCGGCCGCCCTCCTGCTCCACCCGCCGCCGCCTCCCCCGCCGCCGCCGGCCACCTCGGCCCCGCCGCCGCCCCCTCCTCCGCCCGCTATCGCCGCCACCACAACAGCCGCCGCCGCCTCAGCTGGGCCTATGCCTGCCGGGAGCAGTGGCGGCAGCAGCAGCGCCCCGGCGCCCTTCCCTCCCGGCGTGATGCTGCGCGCTGACGTCACGGGGCTGTAATGGTGGTGTGCCTCAAGATTTTTTTCATCAAACAAGTGTGCCTTTGCCCAAAAAAGGTTGGGAAACACTGCTCTAGACCAAAGGTTGCCATGAATTTGATTCTGAATTGATTTTAGAATGAATTGGTTTTAGAGTGCATTTCAATTAATTGATTGTGATTTTATGTAAACTGTGTTACTTTTATTGTTGTTAGCCGCTGTGAGCCCGGCTTCGGCTGGGAAGGGTGGGATATAAATAAAAATCTATTATTATTATTATTATTATTATTATTATTATTATTATTATTAAGAAAACCCTCAAGCCGGGGATGTCTTTGCCACTTGGTTGCCCCAAATGTGCAAACTGGTTCTTTTGCTCTGTTGAAATCAATAAGACTCAAGCTGCAAATAAGAAACCTCAAGCCTTGAAAAAAGGAGGTGTGTGTGTGTGTTCGTGTGTTGCAGACTGCAATTTTCCAAGAAGGGGACTCTGCTCCAGCCCAAGAGAGGCGGGTGTCATTCTCTATGCTATCTGAAACAAACACGCCTCTGGCTTTGCTGTCAACTTTTCCCTTTTCTTGTGAGGAATCCTATTCGGAATAAGGGAATTCCCTTAAAAAAAGGGGAAACGTTGACAGCTATGTGTGGTGTTCGTGCAGATTGGAGCCCTGAGTGTGCTGGACGCCTCGTCTCGCCCACGCAATGCGCACTTAATGAGGCAGACATGTCTCCGTCCCGTCGGCGCATAGACTGCACTCCCCTGCGCCGCAGATGGTTCCAATTAGGGGATGGAGTTAATTGCTCCCCCCCCATCACTGCTGCCCCGTTCCAGGCCAGAAGTATGGCTTCTTGGCTGACAGGATCCAGCTGTTGGTTCAGGGGAGAGGAGGAGGAGGTGGTGGAGGAGAGTCACTTTATCTGCAAGGCATCTGAGACCCCTAGCAGTGAGGGCCTCTCTCAGAGCTGGAAGGGGGCTGGGGGCGCTGGTTCGGATCTCAAGGCCTGCTTTGAGCAAGGCTGGTCTGCCCAGGCACTTGCCAAACCTCACCCTAAGAGGAGCGCGGCTGGATCAGGCCAAGCGCCCATCTCGCCTGGCATCCTCTCCTGGCAGTGGCCACGGGGTGTGTAGCCTAAAACTACGCGAGAAGAGCCTGCAAGATCAAGCCAATGGCCTATCTAATTCCGCATCCCTCCAACATTTCTCCGATGACAAAAGGGACGTCTGAAGGAAAAGTGGGACATTCAGAAACCGCTTCTGTAAATCCAGGACTGTCCCTGGGAAATAGGGACACCAACCACGTGTCTCAAAGGGAAACCCGCAACCAGGATTCGAACACAAGAGCCCTCTAACCTCCCATGGCTTCCAGCAACTGGAGTTCAGGAGCATTGCTGTCTCTGTGGAGGCAGAACGGAGCCATCATGGCTAGGAGCCATTGATAGCCCTCTCCTCCTCCATAGATTTCTCTAATCCTCTTCTAAAGCCATCCAAGTTGGTGGCCATCACTCCCTCCTGTGGCAGGGAGTTCCACAGTCTATCTGCTCTGAGTGAGCACGTATTTCATTTGTTCTGCCCTGAATCTCCCAACATTCAGCTCCATCTGATGCCCATGAGTTCCTGTGTTATGAGAGAGGGAGAAAACTCCTTTGCTGTCCAACTTCCTCCAGACACGTATATGCGGCAGCTAGACTGGTGACTGGGAGCAGCCACCGAGACCACATAACACTGGTCCTGAAAGACCTACATTGGCTCCCAGTACGTTTCCGAGCACAAGTCAAAGTGTTGGTGCTGACCTTAAAAGCCCTAAACGGCCTCAAAGGCCCAGTATACGTGAAGGAGCATCTCCACCCCCATCATCCAGCCCGGACACTGAGGTCCAGCTCTGAGGGCCTTCTGGCGGTTCCCTCACTGCGAGAAGCCAAGTTACAGGGAACCAGGCAGAGGGCCTTCTCAGTGGTGGCGCCCGCCCTGAGGAACGCCCTCCCGTCAGATGTCAAGGAAATAAACAACTACCAGACTATTAGAAGAAATCTGAAAGCAGCCCTGTTTAGGGAAGCTTTCAATGTTTGATGCATTACTGTATTTTAATATTTTGTTGGAAGCTTCCCAGAGTGGCTGGGGAAGCCCAGCCAGATGGGCGGGGTATAAATAATAAATTATTATTATTATTATTATTATTATTATTATTATTATTATTATTATGTTACCTCTCACTCGCTTTTTCTCCAAAAAGTCCCCAAACTTCAACCTTTTCCCCTACAGGAGTAGTTCCATTTCTTTGATCTTTCTGGTTGCCCCAGGTTTGCAAAGGCAGAGACAGACAGTATTTTCTTTATATATGGTATAACCAAAGATTACCATCCCTTTAAAGTAGGCCCCTCTTATCCTTCCCAGACCACCAACGTCCCGAGAAGGACAAGTTTTGAGAGAGTTACTCCATCGCAGCTCCTGGCTGAACACCTGGAGAAGCAAGTTGTTTTAAAAGGCTTGGGTTTTATGAGCCTGTCAAAGATGGGGGGTTTTTTTGTCCCCTTCCAAATACAGCTCCAGAGATTAGTCTCAGCAACTCTCGCTGTGAAGAATCAGCGACTGGAGAGACACGACACCAGACCCTTCTCTCCGATTCCCTAAGTGGCTTTTTCTGTCTCTGGTGCCTGTCATGTTAATATTTCATCTGGTACAAAAAATAGACAGAAACCAGCCAGGATTTTGAAATGAAACCAGCATGTTCTCAGAGAAGGCTCTTTACCCAGATCTTCTTACTTGCGCGTATTGGGGGGGTGGAAGGGAAGAAATGAAAGAGGCACTCTGCCGAAATGAAAACAAATAGCTGCTTTGGGATCAAAGCCGCTGGAACTGAGCTCACGCAGCAAACAGGATACCTCGCAAAACGGTACACAAATTCTTAGGAAACAATAACATCACGGGTGTAAATTATAAATCATGCCACAGATAAGTTGAAACACTCAGGAACGTGCCCTCAGCCTCCTCTGTTCAAAAGGAATTGCAATTACGTACGCAGGCAATCCAAGAAAAGTGGAATGGCCACTGGCATAAGAAGAGCCTGAAGAATCAGGCCAATGGCTCTTCTAGTCCAGCATCCTGACCTCACAGATGCCTGTGGGAAACCTGCAAGCAGGATTCGAACGCAAGCACCACTTTCCCCTCTGGTGGTTTCTAGCCCTGCTACCTCCAGCTGTGGCGGCACAGCAGAGCCATCATGGTTAGTAACCATCCATCGCCCTCTCCTCCTTCATGAATATGTCTAATCCTCTTCAAAAGCCATCCCAGTTGGCAGCCATCCCTGCATCCTGTGGCAGGGAGTTCCACAGTTTAACGATGTGCTGCATGAAGAACGGTGCCTACACTCTGCGTCTCGTGTCAGAGGATCTGGGCTTCCCATTGGGGCAGCTTTTTGGCCACAGTGAGGAGGTAAAGGACCCTTGGGTGGCTAGGTCCCATCAAAGGCAACTATGGGGTTGTAGTTACAGGTAGGTAGCTGTGTTGGTCTGCCATAGTCGAAACAAAATAAAAAAAATCCTTCCAGTAGCACCTTAGAGACCAACTAAGTTTGAGGTTGTGGCACTCATCTCGCTTTCAGGCCAAGGTTACCAGCACTTGTCCACAGACAGCTTTCTGGGACATGTAGCCAGCAGGACTAAACCGCTTCTGGTGCAATGGATCACCATGATGAGTGCCAGAGCGCACGGAGATGCCGTTTACCTTCCCACCACAGCGGTACCTATTTATCTACTTGCACTGGTGTGCTTTCAAACTGCTAGGTTGGCAGGAGCTGGGACAGGGCAATGGGAGCTCACCCCGTTGCACGGATTCAAACCGCCAATCTTCTGATCGGCAAGCCCAAGAGGCTCTGTGGTTTAGACCACAACGCCACCCGTGCCCCTTTTCCCACAGTGAGAACAGGAGGCTGGACTAGATTACATGATCCAGAAGCACTCTGCTTCCACAGGAATTCCATAAGGTGCCTAAAATATGCAAATAAGTGTCACTTCTTTAATTTTGGATATTTTTTTCTGCTTTTGCGGATCATGGGGAGGGGGCAAGGTCAGAGCGCTTATTGCCTTATACTCTCTGACCCATGGAAATCCATTTTTGACGCCTCTTTGACTTCTGAGATATCAGCATGGGCTTCCTGCACACTTTCTGAGCAAATCTGAGCTTTTATATAGGCTAGAATATAAAAAAAGGATTTAAAAAAAAACATATGAATTCTAACAAAGGTCTGTATAGTTAAAACTATGGTTTTCCTTGTAGTGATATATGGAAGTGAGAGCTGGACCATAAAGAAGGTTGATTGCCGAAGAATTGATGCTTTTGAATTATGGTGCTGGAGGAGACTCTTGAGAGACCCATGGACTGCAAGAAGATCAAACCTCTCCATTCTGAAGGAAATCAGCCCTGAGTGCTCACTGGAAGGACAGATCGTGAAGCTGAGGCTCCAATACTTTGGCCACCTCATGAGAAGAGAAAACTCCCTGGAAAAGACCCTGATGTTGGGAAAGATGGAGGGCACAAGGAGAAGGGGAGGACAGAGGACAAGATGGTTGGACAGTGTTCTCGAAGCTACCAGCATGAGTTTGACCAAACTGCGGGAGGCAGTGGAAGACAGGAGTGCCTGGCGTGCTCTGGTCCAGGGGGTCACGAAGAGTCGGACATGACTAAACAACTAAACAACAACAACATGAATTCTGATTTGGATTGTGTAGTTCTGCAAGAGTGCAGGTTTGCTCTCTCTCTGTCTGTCTCAGTCTCTCACACACTGCCAACACAAAGACCACAATCTGGATCAAGACCCTAGGTGTAGATAGAAGGGCTTTGCACCTTTGTCCATCTTTGCTCCCCCAGCAAAAAGGTCAAATTGAAATGCCTGGAGTTGTGTGTGTGTTTTTTAGGAAAGGAGCCTGATAAGTAAGTGGGAAGGTGGGTTGATATTCTCTCAACACATTCTGAAGTGCCGCCTCCTAAGCAACTTCTCTGTTTTGCCTCTGGCTATTTGGGACGCGGGTGGCGCTGTGGGTAAAAGCCTCAGCACCTAGGACTTGCTGATCGAAAGGTCGGCGGTTCGAATCCCCGTGGCGGGGTGCGCTCCTGTCGCTCGGTCCCAGCGCCTGCCAACCTAGCAGTTCAAAAGCACGTCAGAAGTGCAAGTAGATAAATAGGGACCGCTTACTGGCGGGAAGGTAAACGGCGTTCCGTGTGCTGCGCTGGCTCGCCAAATGCAGCTTGTCACGCTGGCCACGTGACCCGGAAGTGTCTGCGGACAGCGCTGGCTCCCGGCCTATAGAGTGAGATGGGCGCACAACCCTAAAGTCTGTCAAGACTGGCCTGTACGGGCAGGGGTACCTTTACCTTTACCTTATTCTGCAGAAATCCCCAAGCCCAGCATCGTTGTAGAAGTGACACTTATCAATTCCTCAGAAAGTTCAGGAACGCAACACAGCTAAGGCTGCCAATTCAAAACATGTTTGAAACAACGTGTTATTTTTCCTTTTCCCTTGGCCTTGGACAGAACTCCCACCCAGTGCATTGGTAAGTAACAGCGAGGTAATGTAAGATTACCAGGTCTAGTGTCTACTGCCCTCTGAGGCAGCAGAGAAATTGTCTTCACCCTCTTCAGAGATTTGGAAAGTGGTACCCAGGTCATCCGCCCACCAACCACCTTCTTTTATTTTTCCAGGCTGAATATGCCCAGTTTTCCCATATCACTGATTATCTTCCTGTATTTCTTACCAATCTGGAGAGTGTGCATTGCTGGTTCCACAAGCGTTGACATCTTCACATCACTTTTCTGGCTGAAAGACAGACAGAACATCCCAATCAAATTGCCCTCTGATTTATTTATTTTAAAAGATTTTATTCAAGTAAATAAAGCAAACCAATTTAATAAAAACAATAGAAGTACAAAAAGGCAGCACAGCATATACAAAAATGATTTAATATTAGGTGGGTAAAGTACTTGAAACCATCAAGGAAGCCAAATTTCATGTTGTGCTGTGGAGAGGCTTCTTCTGTGTGTACTTCTTGTAGATAAGATAAAATCCCAACAAGCAGCAATGAATTTTTCAGGGTTCTCCAAGCCTTTATTTTTCTAGCTAATGCTAAACTCCACACATTTTTACATCAGTTTACCATGCATCAGAGGGACGCGGGTGGCGCTGTGGGTAAAAGCCTCAGCGGCTAGGGCTTGCCGATCGAAAGGTCGGCGGTTCGAATCCCCACGGTGGGGTGCGCTCCCGTTGCTCGGTCCCAGCGCCTGCCAACCTAGCAGTTCGAAAGCACCTTCGGGTGCAAGTAGATAAATAGGGACCGCTTACTAGCGGGAAGGTAAACGGCGTTTCCGTGTGCTGCGCTGGCTCACCAGATGCAGCTTGTCACGCTGGCCACGTGACCCGGAAGTGTCTCCGGACAGCGCTGGCCCCCAGCCTATAGAGTGAGATGGGCGCACAACCCTAGAGTCTGGCAAGACTGGCCCGTACGGGCAGGGGTACCTTTACCTTTTTACCATGCATCAGTTGCCCAGACTGAAAGTCCTCGCCTCCCCACTAACTCCCCTCCTTTCCAGGGTTTTTTCCAAGCCTGTGTGCAGAAAACCTCTCCTCCACCCTCTTCACGCCTCTCCTGGTTCTGGGAGACCAAGAGGGAGGGGAGCTGGTCACAAGAGAGGGGGAGACACCTTGACTTCGTCAGCAGCCTGACTCCTCTCTGCCTCTCGGTCTCCCTCCTCTCCGGCTTCAGCATCAGCTTCTGGTTCTGTACTTCTCTCTGCCACAGAGTCTCCCTGCTCACAGAGCCCTGTTATCCCTTCAGTTTCCAGTACCTCCTCTTCCCAGTCTTCTCTCTCATCTCCATCTGACCACTCATCATCGTCCCACTACCAATCCCCAGGCTCTGAGCCTTGTTCCCTTGGTGGTTCCTCAGCTGGTTCCTTCTTCCCACCATTCATCTGTGTCCAACCAGTCCATGGCATCTGATGATGATGAAATACATACATACATACATACATACATACATACATACATACATACCCTGCCCATCTGGCTGGGTTTCCCCATCCCCTCTATGTGGCTCCCAACAGAATATTAAAAACACAATAAAACACCAAACATTAGAAAATTCCCTAAACACGGCTGCCTTCAGATGTCTTCCAAACGTCAGATAGTTGTTTATTGCCTTGACATCTGCTGGGAGCGCGTTCCACAGGGCAGGTGCCACCACCAAGAAGGCCCTCTGCCTGGTTCCCTGTAGCTTCACTTCTTGCAATGAGGGAACCACCAGAAGGCCCTCAGCGCTGAACCTTAGTGTCTGGGCTGAACTATGGGGGTGGAGACGCTCCTTCAGGATGGTAACGTTTCTGAGATGCCATTATGCTGGCAGAACTCTCTGAACACCCCACTGCCCGCCCTCAGAAGGCAACATCATGCCAAGCCCATCAATATGTGTCGCTTGCTGGCAAATGCGTATTATGTTTGCTCACAGCCCATGAACTCCATACACTGCATATTTCAGAACGCTCTATTCACGCTGCAATGGTCTGAAGACTCCTTGTGTTGGTAACCTCAAGGCGCTCTATGTGGGGCTGTCCTTGGGTTTGGTTCGGAAGCTCCAACTGGTGCAGAATGCTGCAGCCAAATTGCTGACAGGGGCACCTGTCCAACAGAATGTGTTGCCATTGTGAAAACAGCTGCCCACTTCCAGTCATGCCAGGTTCAAGGTCCTTCTCTTAATTTACAAAGCCCTGAACAACTTGGGTCCAGGGATTTCCTGAGCCTTTTCATCCCAGCTCGATTCCTGAGATTCTCTGCAGGAGCGTCACTGCCCATCCCTCAAGCGAGGCTCGTTTGACAGCAAGAAAAAAACAAGGCTTTAGTGCCATCACCTCAGAGTTGTGGAATACTCTGCAAATAGAGATTTGGAAGGGACCTTCTGTTTTAAATTCTAAATGCCTGCTGACAATTTTTCTATTCTGCCAGGCCTATGTAGGCAATTAAGGAAACATATTTCCACAAAGGCTAATTGACGTCTGTTTTTAACTTCTAAAATATGTTTTTATCACGTGGTTTTATGTATTTTTGTTGTGAAGAGCTTTGGCTTATTGTTTATGAAATACTGTATTTTTCACTATATAAGATGCACCAGATCATAAGACGCACCTAGTTTTTGGAGGCGAAAAACAAGAAAAAAAATATTCTGAATCTCAGAAGCCAGAACAGCAAGAGGGATTGCTGTGCAGCGAAAGCAGCAATCCCTCTTGCTGTTCTGGCTTCTGGGATAGCTGCACAGCCTGCATTCACTACATAAGACGCACACACATTTCCCCTTACTTTTTAGGAGGGAAAAAGTGAGTCTTATAGAGGAAAAAATACGGTACATATTTTTAACAACATATAAAACGTAATAAACTGAAGTCTAACAGAATATGACGCACACCGGAAAGAGCTTTAGTGATTAGCAGCCATTGCGAAAGGCAGGTGAGATGTGGTATTGAACATCTGTCTCAGGTGGGGATGTGCATTGACTGCAAAATTTGGTCCTTCTCCTTCTTTGGCAATCACTCGTAACTGAGTAAGATTGTCTTCCATGAACATGGTCTTAACCATGGGTAGGCAACCTAAGGCTCGGGGGCCGGATGCGGCCCAATCACCTTCTCAGTCCGACCTGTGGACGGTCCGGGAAATAGCGTGTTTTTACATGAGTAGAATGTGTCCTTTTATTTAAAATGCATCTCTGGGTTATTTGTGGGGCATAGGAATTCGTTCTTTTTCACCCCCTTCAAAATATAGTCCGGCCCCCCACAAGGTCTGAGGGACAGTGGACCGGCCCCCTGCTTTTGCTGACCCCTGGTTAACAGTGAGTCCGTAAGTGACTGTGGAGGCCAGTTCTGGATCCACACGTCCTTCCACAGTGAGGACATTGGTTTCTGGGCAGGAGCTGACCATGGTGTGGATTTGCCAAGTGTGCCTTCCTCTTAGTACGTTTCCCCCTTTTGTCCCGAGTTCGAGCATACAATGCATACCCTTTGGGGAAATTGCTTGCCAAAGTAGGAACAAGAATGTGTGTGAACGTTCAAGTCCACTTGAATTTGTGGCAAGCCAAACTGAAGAGTTGAAAAACGAGGCAGCAGAGCCACACATTTAAAGCACACACCCCTCCAAGTATCCTGGGAACTGTAGTTTGTGACTGAAACTACAGTTTCCAGGATTCTATGGGGGAAAGTTGTGTGTTTTAAATGTGCATCAGTTTTTAATGTGTGACATTTTAATGTATTTTTAATCTTTGTTGGAAGCCGTCCAGAGTGGCTGGGGAAACCCAGCCAGATGGGCAGGATACAAATAATAAATTATTATCATCATCATCATCATCATCATCATCATCACCATCATCATCATCAGATGTGCCTTAAATTCATGGTGTAGGTCAGCTGTGAGAGAAATTGAAATCAACACAGCCCTCCGCTCCTCCCTGGCTAGGAGCTGATCTATCACCAAACACGCCTCAATGATCAGAATCGATATGCCAACGATCGCCAGATACTGGGCACAAACAACAGGAGCAGGCTATCTGAGGAGGGGCCACACCCTGTGTTCCAAACGGGCTGCTCCAAACCCCGGAAGTCCCGAGAGGAAAGATCTCATTCTGAAACTGCAGCTGCCAAGCTCTTCCTGATCAGGAACACATTTCCGTAGCTGCACCACCTATAAATAGAGACGCAGGAATGGGTGGGAAGGGGATGGAGAATGACTCCAGTGATATCAGCTGCGGAGATCTCTAAAGCTGGTTTAAAGAGCACACCCTCTGCATTAGAGACCAGGGGCGCCAATCAAACTGATGCCAGGGCCTCGTCTGCCTGGGCCTTGTGAGAACAGGATGTAGGGCAAGACGGGATGCTGGCCCGATCCAGCAGCCTCTGATTATGTTCTTATGCAGAGAAGTTAAAGGTGGTGCATAATTTGGCGGTCTGTCAACCCACCAACTTTGGGCTTTGGGGCGATCCCCGTTCACATCTGAACACATCCTGTCTGCCTCCACTATTTGAGGCATCATCTTAAAAGTGCTTCCAGTGCATTTATAGCTTTAATCCAAACAACAGCCCTATAAAGTAAACCGGGATTATTATTCCCATTTTGTGGATGGAAGGATCAAGGCTGAGAGTGGGTTTGACTAACACTACCTAGTGAGTTCATGGCAGGTGCAAGATTTGAACCAAAGGCCTCCTGATTCACAGCGCAGTGTCGACATTAGCTCTCTATTCAGAGTAGAATAAAGGGAACCAAACCAATTTGTGAAATATATGGTTCATAGTGCCCTGGTTCACCTTTTTACTAGTTTTTTTCACTATTCTGTTCTAAATTTGCTATTCTCCATTTAAAGTATCATTATGGGATGCGGGTTAAACCACAGAGCCTAGGACTTGCCGATCAGAAGGTCGGCGGTTCGAATCCCCGCAACGGGGTGAGCTCCCGTTGCTCGGTCCCTGCTGCTGCCAACCAAGCAGTTTGAAAGCACATCAAAGTGCAAGTAGATAAATCAGTGGCGTAGCGTGGGGGGTGCAGGGGGGGCCGGCCGCACCGGGCGCAACACCTGGGGTTAGGGCAAATCCACAGGTTAGGGGGCGCAAATCCACGGGTTAGGGGGCGCAAATTACTTGCCTTGCCCCAGGTGCTGACAACCCACGCTACGCCACTGAGATAAATAGGTACCGCTCCAGCGGGAAGGTAAACAGTGTTTCCGTGCGCTGCTCTGGTTCGCCAGGAGTGGCTTAGTCCTGCTGGCCACATGACCCGGAAGCTGTGCA